AAAAAAATTATAAAGATGATTTCTGTTATCAGGATGATCGTCATAATAAGTATGCTTCTGTTTATCCAGCCCGTCTATATAGCTACCCGTCTATCAACTTAATTTATAAGTTTTAAAACTAAACTTTATGATAGAAATTAACTCAAAAGTTTAAAGAAGAAACCTGACGTGTAAAGGGAGAAAACTGCTTTAATACGACAATGTGAAATGCCAGAATTGTCTCCCTATAATAAATTGCAATTTCGTATAATTTCTATTATCAATACCATATAATCAGCTCATATATCTGTCACATGTTATATGGTCAATAAAGCATATACCAATACAAACCATTGAAAAGTGATATTTCATACATCATAAAAATAGGGTAAAACACATACATAAAGCACCTAAAAGCATAACATTATTTTAAAAATTAAATGTGCTTCTTCTGTAACGTGTCGTTGGGATATCTTCATTCTTTTTTAGATTCGCGAGGTTCTTCTGTCTAGACGGCATCACAACAATCATTAAGAGGCATGTGGCACCGTACGTTATGTGTCGCAACGATACTAAATGTCGCACTTGCCGCTGAATGTCTCACTATTGTCGCTGAATGTCGCAACCGCCGCTAAATGTCTCAAAAAATTTAACCGTTAAATGTTGCTATGATGACGTTAAATGTCGCAATTTCTAAATTCATGTTAAACAAATCGTATTATGACAATATTAACGTCATGTACGTGATCTTGGGACTAGCTATCTATCAGACAGGAAAGGATTAGCTGTGATGTACACATTGAAGTCATCTTAGTCGGTATTATAGATTTACAACCACAATTTATGACCTGACGTCTTGTTTTGTTTACGTTACATATACATTTAGTATGACATTTCTCTTTCCTTACACAGCACAGGGGGACAACTCTCGCTGACTTAATTTCAATTTCGACTTTAAAGAGATTTATATTCATTAGCCACGAGCATATTACCACGTGTTACATACCCCATAGTGTGTTTTTAAAGCCTCATCTCTTACTTGTTTGGAGATCGTGTATGACTCGCATATAGGTCTGGGTGACCGAGAAGAAGTCGGAATGTTGGTCGGGTTGTTGTCGAGAAGAAGTCGTAAAACATCGTGGTGGGTCGACTTGAGGTCGTGTAGGAGTCGTGAATGTGCATTTAATCCAGCTTGGTCGGGCTTCATCGGGGAATTAATGTGATCGGGACGATCGAGTTGATCTGATCGGCGGTGAGAACAAAGCATAATACTTACTTTTGAACATGAACTGTAAATACTGTGTATAGTTAACAAGTTTTTCCGAGCATCTCGCTAGCTTTATAACAATGTCTTTGTTCATGTTACAGATTAATTGATACTGCTTTGCACCTTTATAAATTTCAAAAAGTAACATAAAAAGAATTAAATCTCTTTGAATGATTCATCTGAACGAGAATGTAATTAACCTAAAGTAATGTTATTTTATTACACAATAGTATGGTTGTTTACCAATGTGATTTATCTGGTATTCCTTCCGGCAGGCGCTATTAACAGAAGGTATGTGAGATATCACTCTTATCAATATGAGCCGTGCCATGACAAAACCAACATAATGGGTTTGCGACCAGCATGGATCCAGACCAGCCTGCGCATCCGCGCAGTCTGATCAGGATCCATGCTGTTCGCTATCAGTTTCTTTACTTGTTATAGGGTTTGTAAGCGAACAGCATGGATCCTGATCAGAGTGCGCGGATGCGCAGGCTGGTCTGGATCCATGCTGGTCGCAAACCCATTATGTTGGTTTTGTCGTGACGCGGCTCATATGTACTGTTCAACAGAGCATGATTGAAATCTAACAATGCAATCATTAAGCATTGCTTACATGTATATTATTAGCTATAAAATATTTTGACATGTTATATAGCCCTATATAAACGGTTGTTTGTAAATATTACCCGAGTCGCTAGGCGAGAGTTATATAGCAAACAACTATTTATATAAGGCCATATAACCTGTCAGAAATATTTATAACGTAATCATAATGCAGTAAACTTTATTTGTTTAGCGAAAATAAATGAGATTTCCTCTCAAATTGACAGACACCGTGTATACAAACCTATATAAGCGCCATGATTATCCAATGAAAAGCGACGTTACAAACGTGCAGTTACAATAAGATTTACACAACATACAAAACAATTTATACACAAAAAGTTCTAAGATATTCAGTAATAAAAGTAAGAAATGGAGATATTATTCATAATTAGAGGTCAATATATTATATCACTACAAAGTGTTAATATAGTCGTTTGAAGCCAGTGGTCTAATAATTACATCTTTAGTGATTTCTTATATGTTTATTTAAAAAATATTTATATGTTTATAGAGAATGCCTGTCAGATACTACTTTAGTACATTTACATGTTCAACTTAACAATCCCAGTATTTTAGTATTGATGGTTGAAGTTTTGGTATTCCTTACCATTATAACATAAGCATCTTTTCTATTTACATCATCCACTTAGTTTCATCAAAATAAATGTTAATGAATAACAAAGAGATGTAAAAAATACATCCTGGATTTCTTATTAAGCTACTTAAATACAAGGAGGGCTCAATTAGTGCATCTTGAACGTTAAACTGTATCAAATCGCGAAAACACGAGGTAATGAAGGTTAGATATACATGTTATCTTTACAGTGATACCACATTCATTAAAATCCGTTCACTTTAGCTGTGTTTATAGCTCGCTACACATTGTCTACTCGTATACTGTAATAAAATAATGGTTGATAAAAGACCATACTATACCGTTTATTAAGAATCGTTGTTTTCTTAACATAGGTAGCATAGACTATTTTTGCTGTAATCTGTTCTGTATATGGACAAAATGTAATGTCTTTTTCAAATGTGGATTAATTTCCACTGAAGATGCACCCCATGCCCGTCGGCCTTATAAAGCAACGTCAGTAAAGATGGTTGCAAAAGTAAAGAAACATGTAAAACCTACGCGAGATATACGTGGTTCTACTAGGCATATAGCTAGTATCGTTGATATCTCATTAGAAGCAGCTCATACCATTCTCAAATATGATTTGAAAATGAGAAAGATCCGTGATAGATGAATTCCCCATTTGCTGATAGATGAGCAGAAAAGGCAAGGATCTAAAAATGCGCTGAAAATCTTTGCTGAAACTGTATCAAAATCACAATTTATGGTCTTTTGCAAATGTCGTCACTGTCGACGAAACATAAAAGTTCATTTTTATGAGCCAAAACGAAAACACCAACACAAGCTTTGGGATACATAGTCTGGTAGAAGGCCATGCATTGCAAAAATGTCCACAGATAGAAGGTAATTTATGCCATTTTCTTTACAACTCTGCGTCACGCCATTTTGGTTGCTATTCCTAAAGGTAAATATGTTAATGTGAAATATTACAAATATTGACGAAAAAGAAGACCTGCAGTTGGTTTGGCCAATGTCAGATTGCTGCATGACAACGCGTCATCTCGCAAGGCGTGTATAGTGTAAGACTTTCTGAAGCAGTTGAGTCGTTGTGCTTCCCCAATCCTCAGTATTCACCTGCCTTTGTCCTTTGTGATGTCTCTTGTTTTCAAAGCTAAATAATACTTTTGAGGTCGAGATTTTTTTCAGCGACTGCAATACTCATGTGCCTTTATAGCATGTATATACAAAGACTATGAAAATACATCCGGAGACTGAAACTTTGTATATCTTTTGGAAGTAAACAAGAGGGAACCAGAAACCAGAAAAAAAATCAGTGAAACCAATGAAGAATCAAATTTTACGTGCTTAATATAAATACATTCATACTTGAACACTCCACTTTGCATTTAATAGATATAAATACTATCTACAGATGTAAATGTTTGCAAATATCCACAGTATTGTTGATATATCATATGGTGATTTAAGTTACAAACATACAATTTATCAAAACTGTATGAACAAGAGATGTCTAAAAGTACCCGACTTCTGGAAAATGCTTTATAAAAAAACACCTTTTTGTCAGTTGGGAAATACATAATCGTCTATAAGAACAGTATGTTTTTTTTATTACCAAACCATATGTATGAATGTGCAGATTGGGCTGACTCTTTACTGATTGCATAGGTATCAAAGTTTTGAAAAATGGATCGCATCAACTTTAAAACCGTTTGTCTAATCTTGCGGCAATAGTTATCATCAAATGACTAAGAAAAATTCGGACTTGTGGTGAAAACCTTGATCAAAACGTCTTCCTATCACTTGGGCAATACGTACTCGTCTAGAAGTCTTACTATTAATGCGCACATTAAATCTTACTATTGAATTGCAACAAATAAAATCTATTTATATAAAACCTAATATTTTTTTACTAGTATATTAAAACAGTATAATTTCCACCACGAAGCAAACAATATATTTGAATCCACTATCTATAAAAATAGGTACAACAAACAAAATTCAGATCTTATATATAACCAAATTCACTTCGATGATATTAACAACTTGTTTTTGTTTTCTAACTTATCAAACAGTGTCCTATATTTAGGGATGTGTTAGTTTATGCGTTTAAATATATTTAAGGGATACTTCATAACGACTCTTATATCAAGAACTTAAATTCCACAATGTTAAGGTTTGTTCAGCAGATAAAATTAGAAACAATCGTAACAAATCATAAAGTTTTTAAATACTCTTTTCAGTCCGAAAATAGGGCATACTTTGCTTAAAAAATACAAAACTAATATTTACCGGAGGAATATAAAAATCGAACCAATTTATGTCAGGCAAATGTTCTCCAGATTTAGGCATCTCACGATTTCATATTTGACTCCGAGAAAACTTGATGGAATGAAACTTTTATTTCCTACTTACATTTAAGTTCTAATTCTTTTTGAAATGTTTATACTGTTCAGACTTTAATTCCTTTCAAACAGGTGAAGTAATAAATTAGATAGAAATGTATATAATGCCTGTTAATACATTATAATGTTTGTTGTAGAAAGATAATATATCAAGTGTCTGATACATACAGGTAAGTTTCTGAGTAACACAGATATCAGGAACCGAGCTCATATCAAACTGCTTCGAGGTAGATTGTATTGAATCGAATGATAATGATGAAATATAAAAATCTGACGAACGGGACGTAATAACTGTGTTGATGGTTTTGTACTTCTTACACTTACATAGAATAATAATCATTAAAAACAATAGCTTGTACTTCTGAGATCAGCATGTAGAATATATAATATAAATACTGTTACATACATGTATAAGTACAATACTTAACTTATAAGCTGTAGTGGAATTTCATACTTGAAGACAGGACATAAAGAAAGGTAAATGTGTAGGTAAATTTCACGAGAACATGCAAACTAAACCATGTATTGCAAGGAATTGTTGTTTCTACAGTTTAACAACAAAAGGAGATATTCTTTTAAAGATGTGTTATGCCAAAGTCTAAAGTAGGAAAATGGAAACAGTTATTCAAAGACATGGCTATAAGAGAAATTTCGTTAGATAACATGTCTCTAAGTGAGGAAATTAACCTAACAACAAATGTTTCTTGTTCGGAACTTAGTGCACCGGAAATGGATATTGTGTACAAAACATTATTGTTTTCGTGTTTGTCAATTTTCATACCAGGGGCTATTATTTTTAATATAATTCTTATAGTGCAAATAAACAGGAAACGTACACATAAGGAATTTTCAAGGTTTTTCTTAACCTCAATGGCGTCGGTGGATTTATGTGTAGGTTTAACATTAATGCCGTTTAGTATAGCCAATGAATTCACTGATACCAAATTCCTCCTGGGCTCAAAGACGTGTCCAATAATCAACAGTTTGGACGTAATGCTGTCATCTGCATCAATAATTCATCTGTCAATTTTAACATTTGACAGATACGTTGCTTTGTGTAGGCCATTTTCATACCGACGAATATGCAACAGACGTAATATGATTGTGATGTACATTATATGCTGGTTACTTGTGGCTTCAGTTTCATATGGTTTAATAATTCCTGGACTTCACCATAAAGGGATTGATAAACATGTTATAACTTGTGTAGTGCACGTTTTCAGCAGATGTAGATTAATTGTAAACATGCATTATGAGCTTATCATATCTGCACTTACATTTTTCATTCCAGGATTCCTTATTTTAGGCTTAAACTTACGACTTTTGAGATATGTTCGCAAACAAAGCAGGAAAAGGAAACTGTATCTCCGTGGCGAGCGAAAACCTATGAATAATCAGATGAACAACAATGAGTCACAGAGCATGCGCATTGCAAGAACATTAGCCGTATTAACCGGAAGTTTCTTTGTTTGTTGGCTTCCATTTTTTATTGTAAATAAAATATTATTGTTCACAAAATATGATGTTCCTTACATTGTAGAAGTTGTAGTTCTGTGGTTGGGATATGCTAATTCATCCATGAATCCATTGTTTTATTTTCTGTTACAGAGCAAATCATGTATTGGTAAACGATAAATACAATAATATATATTTTAGGAATCGCTGTTTTTGTAAGAAACATATCAAATATGCTTAATTGTGGTTTTATAATAAATTCAAAATGCCGCTTAGTATCTTGTTATATCGCTTTATACCTTTGATGGAATAAGAGACTTTCAGTTATACCATTGATGGAATACAATTTTTGAATTGAGAAAATTAATGAAATGCTATTTTATAAATAAAACCATTTATGGAATACCATGTTTTATAATTACATGTATATCATTGATGGAACATCATTTTTTAATTGTTAAAATTAATGAAATACTGTTGATTGAATACTATTCTTTAATTTGTGTCACATAAAAATACCTCAGATATTTTCGACTTCAAATCACTGGATATAATAGCACAAATATGATGACCCATAATATGATAACACAAGATATGATGATTACACGGAATATGATAACACTGGATATAAAACACGGGATGTGAAAACACCAAATATTATAGGAAATTACAATACAATTACAATTGAAAATATAAATAATTGTTTCCTCATTCATGATAAATAAGTTGTCATCTATAGTATTTTCATATTTATTGCACTTGTGGGAAAATGCACACAAACGTGTGAGCACGTAAACAGGTGTAAATATTCAGATAAGAGACTTACAGAATAGCAAAGTAACAAAGTGAACAATGTCATTCTTATCACTAAATAAAAAAGTGTAAACAAATATGCCAAGAATTTGGTTGCAAGCTAAAATCTTTATCTCATGAAGATATTGAACTATATAGATTTGAACAACAACACGGCATAAGGTTATGTATTGATATAATTTATGTTGGCTTTGGAAAACTTCACTAAAGTGTTTAAAATGTGTTTTAACCAATGTACCATATATTTTATTTTCCATTTTTTCGTTTTGTGCGTTCTTTAGGGATTCTGTTGATTTTTTTGGTCTATTTTAGAAGTAATTTTAAGTATATACTTCTAAAATAGAAAAAAATACGAAAAAAAAAAAAAAAAAAAAAAAAGAAAAAACAAAAAAAAAACAACAACAAAAAACAACAAACAAACAGGAACCTTAAAGAACGCATAAAACAGCAAAATTGAAAATGTTTCAGGCTCGAGTTTTGAAAAGCGCAAGTTGCCGTCCACGCCCCTAGCACCGGCTTCGACAAATTCAACGAATAAACATGACAATTGTGCCATTTTTAATTTAGAAACAATCGCAGATATATTCATCTGGCAGATATCATGGAACCTTTAGTGTGACACGTGTGTGCTATTAAAATTCAAATTCTGATTTAATTTTAGGAGACACAATCCGTTAACAAACATATATATTTATTTATCAAGTTCACTATTCACTTGTGCATGGCTTATATTTCCTCCTGTCCGTTGTAACTGGTAGCTATTTGATCAAGTGAAATGCAATGTAAGATAAATTAATGACATGTGGAGAACGTCACAGTTTGAAAAAAATTTCAATAAAAATTGTAGAATACTATTTTAAAATGTAACATTTATAACAAAAGATATCAAACAGTATATAAAAAACCTACTTTTACAACAACAACAACAAAAAAAAAAGAACAAAACAAAAAACAAAAAAGCACACACACACACAAAAACAACAAACAAACGAGAAATTAACATCCCCGTACATAAAATAACATCTATTTATCTATTTTGATGAAAATGCATTGGTCTCATAAATTGATCTTGAACTCGTGCCTTCCATATCTGAATTTTGTCTTTGTAAACACATGTCTATAACGTATAAAAGAGTTACAAATGTTTAACAGACTTTAATAATATTATTAAAGTACATTATACAAGAAAGCAATGATAGAAATAAGCTTTAAGTTACACATCAGTCAAGTTCTGGTACATTATATATATATTATATAATATATATTTATATTGAGCGATATCTCACATTCCTCTAGATAGTATCAGTTGTCTGAGATTATATATATATATCACAATCGCAAACAATCAGTTTTTGTGTGTTATAAAAACCAGCGAAACAAAGTACATTCTGCAGCAGCTTATGTGAACTGATTTACAGGGATTACATCTAGTTTTAATGTTTTAAATTTTGCTATTTTACTCTACAGAATGTTTATAGGTGGAAAACAGTAACATTTAATCAGCAACATTAACGATTAATGGGCGTAGCAAGATGCTTGCAATAAGTAGCTTTTTACCTATATGTTTCTTTATTCACATTATGCTTTTAAATTGTGAAGTATTTACTCATATCAAACTTACACACATCAAACATGCACTACATAATACATACATTTAATTTGGGATTTCACATTTTTTATATTTTTAATCCGTTAAAGAATGCAGTAAGGTATTGTTGTATCATAGTTTGGGGACCTTTCTGTTGAAAATGTGTCAGAGTTAAATCGTATACATATACATCTGGAGTGAGGGTATTAGTTACACGCACTCCAGAGCATGCCCATTGATTGGCTCATTTTTGCTGGGGTTTACTTATTTTGACGGCAGAGACAGGGAAAGCGACAGAAATATCATATTCAGATGCTCGTCCATTGGTTCTTTTTTTCTGGGGTTTCATATTGTGAAACAGGGAACGTGTTTTATGTTTGACTATGATACAAAAGAGACAGAACATCAAAACACTCGGTAATCTGATTTATACTCGGGGGCTACGCCTCCTAGTACAAATCAGATAGCCTCGTGTTTCGATGCTCTTTCTATTACTCAATGTACCTATTCTGGTAAAATATACCCTGCATTGAACTTTGAAGTGTGTGGTAACATCCATCTTAAACATCTTGTAATGGTATTCCATAATGCATTATTTAAAACAATTCTTTAAGTGGAACTTAATTAAAGGAATTGGAGTAAAATATGTAATTTAGAAAATGTGTAATAGAATCACAATCTTACGGCAAAAATATTAGGTTACGTGATATGAAAAGCAAACAAACTCCTCTTTAGAATCATCTTTTGATTCAGTAAGAGTTGTCTCACTTATGCTAATATATTGAGAATAAAATTGTTCGTTTCTCGTGAAATTGGGCTACTGCTTATATCCAAAATACTTTATTGCATACCTTTTAATATAACCTTAATTATTTATCTAAATATGTCAATATTGACGAAAAACAAAATGTTAAATTGCATAAATATTTAAAGACCAATTATGCTCCAGAAATTCTTTCTTTTATTTTTATTTCTAAAAAGCTTATTATTTCAGTGTCCTCTTATAGTTTCCAAAAAGTTACTAATTGGCATGTTACCTGAACCATCTTTAGCTTTAGCTGCCTTTTGTCAATTTCTTCAGTAATTAAGATGCAGTATTTTGTATACTTTGCTGACATTTTCTTACTTTTATGACAAATAATTTCGCATTCAGCGCTACTTTATGTGATAAGCATCTAACATTATTCCACTTATAATTATAATTAATTACACGTTGTTACCACTCATTGCTTACATTTATAACTGGAAAAAAAATCTTATTTTTAATCGCATGAATCAAAATAGTGCTGCTTAAATAAAGTCTTAATTACATTTATTATTCAGCCAATCCAATTCAGTCCTAGTTTCTATTTCTTTTCCCCTATTTCTCTTCATTTTTATTTTTGAACTTTTTATCATTTCAAGTTGAATATTATATAAAAGCTTATTAACATATATTTTGATTTTTTTAAAACTTTTTTAAGGCGTGTATTTTGTACTTTGTTATGATTTCTTGTAGATTTCAGTTTATCAAGGTATCCTTGTGGTATATTATTAAAAGGCATGCTATATTTTACAAACTGATGGGTTTTCTAAAGCTGAAAAGTGATATTACTGTTAAGATATTTTCCTTTGAAATTTGGTAACATTTCTATAAAGAAAATACATAATGAAGATGATGATGTACATCCCTGACGAACCTCCATTTCTATGTAATAAGACTCCGAAAAATGTCCATTATTGATAACTATACTTGATATACCAGTGTAAAATTTTTTAATCTATCTTATAAGATTTTTGCCATAGTAAAATTTATCCAATGTATCAAATTAAAATGGATGGCTTAGACTGTCGAATGCATTTCCATAATTTGCAAAGAACAGTAAACTCGGTTAATTTTCTTTCTGCAGATGTTCAATAATTTCAAAAATTAGCCTTACATTTTCACTTATATGTCGATTTTTCATGAAAACAGTTTGATTGAAGCTTAAAATAGACTGCAAAACTTTTTTTATTCTATTTGAAATTGTTTTTGTTGCAAGATTATATTCAACGTTGAGCAAGCTTATTCGTCTCCAATTTGATAAATCCGGTTTAGGAATAAGAGATATTATTCCTTGTCTTTGAAGTCTTGTTAATCTTTAATCTTGTAGTTTCAATTGAGTAATTAATCGAAGTAAGATATAGTCTTTTACACAATTCAAAAATATTTTATAGAATTTTACTGTTTAACCATCAGATCCAGGACTTTTATTATTTTTCTGATAAAGCTATTTTACATTCATGTTCATTAATTTTCCCTTCGCATATGCTTTTTTCTTCGCCACTCAATGATTTTATGTCTGTATTAAAAATATGTGAACTTTGAGAAGTTCTATGTTTGTACAAACATTCATAAAAAGATTTTTCTTCTTTAAATATTTCTTTTAGTTATATATTTGTTCTTTATTTTCTAATTTTAATTAACGTACAGCCGTTTTCTCTGTTTGTCTTTTTTCTAAGTTTGCAAAATATTTACTATTTGTTTCGTTATGTTCTACATGAATAGCTCTTGTTCTTAAAATAAAGGCATTTACACGATGTTCATAAAGGTCAGCAAGTTATTTTAATAACATTTAATTTTTAACTTATTTTCATCTTTGCTTTCTTTATTGTTTGTATTTTTTCGTCTCATCGTTTTATTTTATTGATTGAATTAAAGATCCTGTAACACAAATTTTTATGGTTTTATATCATAAATATGATGCTCAAGTTAAGATTTATCAATTTAGTATGTTCCAAAAAGCATTATTTATAAAGATATTACCGAATTTAACATTTCATGTAAATAAATGGAGGTAATAAACAATTTATTTTCTATAAAGTCTAAGTCGAATGTTTCAATAAGAAATGAATGCATATATGTTCATGATTACATATAATATATACACATATTTGCTGAACATATTTTATATATTGTTCGATTTTTGAAAATTGTTTAATAAGCATTATTATTTATATATATATAATTTCATGTTAGTGTGGTGTAAAACCTCTATTACAACATATAGGATCTTTACACTCTTGGTCTTTTTGGTCTCTTGGTGACCATTTACCGTTCGATTTTCGGCTACACGTCGGACAAATACCAGAGTATACCCGATGGAAACTTCTATGCCAGCGAAACACAATCAGATCCCTGACACATCCCACCATATGGGGTTCTGCAGAATTGAGGCTGGCACTCACAAAGGCCAGTCGGAATTGGTGAGATATGAGTTGAAATGACCATATAAAGAACGATTTTCGAATCGACATCTGCAAAAAATAAAACACAGTGTATTTCAGACGGACACACCTATACTAGCGGATACACGGTCACACCCTCTAACCATCCCACAATATGGGGTTCTGCGGATTGAGGCTTTGACTCACAACGACTAGCGAGATATTAGCTGAAATGACCATCAATAGTACGATTTTCGGCTCACTGTCGGCAAAATACCAGAGTATTCCCGACGGAAACACCTATACCAGCGGACACACAGTCAGAACCCCTTACCTTCCCACTATATGGGGTTGTGCGGAATCGAGGCTTGGGCTCACAGGGGTCAGCAGGAATTGGCAACATATGATCTGAAATGACCATAAATAGCTCAATATTCGGCTCAACGTCCAAATTTAAAAAAAAACTCAGAGTATTCCCGACGGACTACCTATACCAGCGTACACACGATCACACCCCTTACCATCCCGCCATATGGGGTTCTGCGGAATTGAGGCTTGACAGGTGCCAGCCGAAATTGGCGAGATATGAGCTGAAATTACCATTTATATTACGATTTTCTACTCAACGTCCGCAAATTACAGAAGTATTCCCGACGGACACACCTATACCAGCGGACACACGGTCACACCTTGCAGGACACGAATATTCATGAATCCGTCTTCGGATGTTTTCCATCTTAAGTAGCCTTGATTTTGGTTATTCTGGACAGCCGCAAAGACCAGAGATAGAGGTGAAAAGTAATTTGAAATTACACTAAGGAATAAACCAATGGTCTTTTGCACAGGTTTTACTGTATCGTCTCTGATTAGCCTGTTAAGTAGGTACTGGATTCCGGCTGGCCAGAGTAGCCGGACTAGACAGAAATGTGTTCCGGCTGTTCCGGATGCTCCGTCTAACTTCACGAACATATACATGAGTGTATTAAATTTTTCAATAAATGTGAATGTATCTGGTGGTAAGAAACAAGTACGTGAACCTTAATAACCGACGCACCTAAATATCTTTTCATAATCGTGAATATCTGACAGATTAGTTACATACATGTACATCCTGGGTAAGCCATTCATTGTAACAGGGAACCCCATTATGACTCAAGATGTAAAAGTAGACATAACATCATGAGGTGTTTTTCTTGTTAGTTTCGTACCGTAAATGTATTAAGTAAGAACACTCTTAAAATCATTTTAGGACATGAAAACAAACATATTTAAATAGATCTGTTATTAATATAAATATTGTTACTGATTTATTCGACTTTTGTAGATGACATTTATCACGTGAACATTTGTTTGGATTTATTAGATTTGTATCAGTTTCTTTTTCCAAATTTTGATATACTGCAGGTAAGTCAGAATGTCATTTTTGTACAGTTAATCGTTTTCCTGTTAAGTCAATATAGACAATTTCATCAATTTTAATAGGGGACGTTATGTGCAAATCTGTTCCGTCAGTTTATGTGTTAAAATGTTGCATAGCATTTGTAGGTAGTCCGAATCTAAGGCAATCCGAATCACAGCATTTGATTTCTTTGTAATAGAAAAGTAAAAATATATATTACTAATATATCCTTGGGCAGTAAAATCAATTTATGTAAGTTTAAAAAAATCAGCACCCGTGTATAATGAAATATATGTTTTGATTCATATGAAAGTACTTGCATGTTTTTAATAAATGATGGCCTTATTTTTTCCAATGATCATTTTTGTAGTTCCTGTATAATGTTGTGAAATGATTAATTCAAAATTTTCATGTTTGTTTCTTTTTTGTGTATATGTATTTAATGTCACGATTTTCAAAAAAAAAAAAAAAAAAGAATTATTAAAATGTTTCGGCAAAACAACTATAAATATATGCAAAAATAACGCTGTTGTGATTTTTATTGACTACTCTAACTGTCTAGTACCTGTGAACCTATTCAAGAAAGGTGGCTTGCACATATTATTTTGGATAATGTATTGGTCGTTTTCTTTCACCCAATTCACAAATAATTAAAACTGGATGTTGGGAAACCAATCAAAGTCGCAATTATTGATTTTTTAATCGATTGTATGATTACACTATAATCAATATGTAATTGATAACCTTGCCCAAAACTAATTAAATTAATTGTAATTAATCGATTAAAGCTAAATTTGTAATTGACTAAATAGTCAGTAATTATGATTACAATTTGATTGACATTGATTATTTCAGATTTAACAGGAAACTATTTAAATTCATAGGATTTTACATTATATAGTTAAACTTTTGTTTTACAGTTATGAAGTAAAAACCCTCAGTTAAGACCGCCATCGGGTCTGGACCAAAGTGGTGTTAATTGAAAATATTCTATCTTTGCTAAAATACTTTATGACTGTGGTCAAAGCTAGTAATTTTTTATGAACAAACAATATGTATCTTAACCTATAAATACACTATAAAAGACACTTAAAAGTATGCTATGATATTTATTCTGATGAGAACAAAACATTTTCTAATGAAATTTAACATTGAATTATCTTGGTCAGATTTCAATATCAAATATTATATGACGTACAAAATCACCTATCAAATAAAAAAATAATTCTTCACAAAAATTTTGCTGTAATATTAAACCCTCTAAATGGTGCCTTCTCGCCTTATTTCATTGAAAAATAACCCAATAATAACAGTTTTTCACACCTTGAGACGCGAGTGTAATTCCAATGAGCATTCAAGCAGATCATAACAAAAAATAGGTGTTGACCTTTATATCCGTGGTCTCAATAGTTGGGTCAAATTAAGAATAAAACAAAGAATTTGAACTGAATTTGTATTAAACGGGTAGTCTTAATTCTAGATCATGTAACCATTTAATCAATTATCAATCAATTACTCTCTTAAAGTAATTGTAATTTAATTGATTACAGAGGCAAGTTAAGGTAATCAATGACATTAAAATCTGAAAGTAATTGTAACTAGATCAATAACTGATCAATGTTATTGTCCCCAGGTCTGGCTGGTATACGCCATTATCGGGCTTTAACAAGAGTTACTGCACTTAATCGAAATAAAGAATGCTAAATAACGATTGTATTCAGATTGGGGATAGGTGATGGGGTTTTTGAAAAAAGCCCTAATTTAATACACGGTTTAGATTGGAGCATGGACGTAGTTTTAATCAATTTTCCTAAATGTAATTTAGTGTAATAAGGCACAACATATATAAACATTTTTCTGCATAGCAATACACTTGAATTTTATCAATTTAAATGCCCTAAGTAAATACTTAATTATCGTTTTCATTATTTAAAAATGTGATAAAAAGTCCTAATCAAACGTCGGTAAAGGTAATACCAGCGCGTCATATTTCTTACAGCTAGTTTACAGCAATCAGGAACATCCACCATATTTCTGACTGGCTCTCACGTTTTGGGGTTTACAATACCAAAAATAAATATTCGGTCATTTTGTACTATTAAAAGTAACTGAGGCTCCGAGGTAGTGAATTAAATTTATTATTTGAGAAAAATTTGCCTTATCAAATTCTCATTTATTGGCGTTCGCGCCGAAGCGCGGCGCCTTTTATGGAATGAAATCAGATTTTGTGAAAGGGCGACAGCAACTTCTCGAGCCTTTTATAGTTGTTCATAATAAAAGCCGATCATTCCGATCGGTATGAGGGTGCTTGATTATTAATTAGTCGCGATATGTACATCGAATAGCGAACTGGAGAATTTCGCAATGCAAACATTTTCAAATGAAATAACCTTTTCCGTCAATAAATCGCGCTCTTCGGGGTATTTTTATTTATTATTTTGTAGTACACAGTGGGTTATTATGGTATGTTATTCCGAAAGCTGTAAATAGAATGATGAGTTGATGACCTAAATATTCCGAAAATCTATTTATAGAGGGATGTACTCCTATCGGTAATTCCCGGTCTCTCCTGGTCTATTTTGACCGGGATTTACTAGTGACCGGCGAATAGTACCACACGTTTATTGTCCGGTCTCTCCCGGTTTTGGAGTAGATGTTTGATATCGTTACAGAACAGAACAAATATTTTACAGATAAATAAGCTTTTTTTTTCAAAATGAATGTTTGTCACTTAGTTTGGTTACAATAATTAATAAACACAGATCAACTCTCAAATTTATTGATTATTATTATACATAAACATACAATTCGAAAAAAAAACCAACAACACAAATCGCATGTTTTATTTTATCTATATGAGATAAAAACAATAAATATGTACAATAATTGAGAAAAAATGTACATTTTTATGGCATTAATATGACACTATCAACTTTGAAACATTTTATTTAATTTGTTATTCGTGTTTAGTAAAGCTGCCGAGGAATTATTCAAAGATACAAATCAGATTTTATGAATTATTCAATTGATTGATAATTTAAAAAATGATAAAGAAAAATACAAATGTACATGTATATGGTTTAAGAATAAACAATATTATATATTGAAAGATTAACCATAATTTACTGACGTTTTCCAGTTAAGTTTTGACTGATAATCGTCGGTCAATATGACAATTGAATTCTTAAAATAGTAGTAAACGTAAAAACTCAGTATTAAAATAGCGCATAAAACACAAAAAAGAAAAGAAAACAATATTCATAAAATCTGTATTTTTTTATTAAAATAGATATTACAATTATTGTATAATAAACAATAATTATTATGCTCAACATGATCAACATGGTAATATAACAAGTGTCATATTGTTACTAAGTGTAAACAGATACCTTAAGAGGGGGTCTTCGCTAATAGCGATAACATAAGGGACAATTACACAAGTGTGGTGTTGATCATGCGTTACACATATGGATAATAAATGATTGTATACATGTATATCCGTTGCTATTAATAACCACGATTATAAAGAAATAACAAGTAATACTCTAATTTCTAGCATGCCAATCAAAGTTATAAATAATGAACAATGTCTTTCGTCCGTTCATTCATAAGTGATATACAATTCTGGTAAAAACCAATGAACCATTGAAAAGTTTATAAGAATATCTTGGCATCATATATCTACTAGTTCATCTGCACCTGCTGCATTTCTTGCTTGGACGCCCTTTGATGCTTTGCATCAATGCTTTTCTTGTACATCATTTATTATGCGATACAAAAACAGTTGTTGAATATCACACTCGACATTTATTTGGAAATATCCTTGGGGTGCATCACCTCATATTTTCATTTCGCCGGCATCTTTCATTTTGTGTAGAGAAAGACCCTTGATGTCGCCCCAGACCATAATATTTCCACATAACAGTCTCGTTCCAATCCTAACAGGCCAAACAAAATATTATTCAAGCAACATTTTACTGAGCTGCAACGCCTTAGAATTAAACTGTTTTGCTATATAATCTACATAAGAAGGAAAAATTGTAAATGTCTTGCCGTCCTGTTCAAACCATTAATATACATGTATAAAAATAAACATATTTATTTTGGAAAAAGTGTTATTTAATAGAAAAGCTGAAAATAAAATTATCGAGAGATTTGTAGTATCATTCTTTGTTTAAGTAGTGTATTTTACACTCAGTGATGTGAATTACTTCTTGTCCTCTAAACAAGGAAGTATATTTTATCCTGTACATTTATTGTCACTAAATGTATAAACGAATTTTATGAAAGGGCGGACATTTAGTGATAACGATATTACACATCAAAATACATATTGAAATTAATTTAAATTTTTCAAGGGGGCATATATTAGAATCATAAGTAAAAACTTTGAATTGCATTACATTGTATTTATTTTCCAATATCTCTTCAGTTAACAAATTGATTATGAACACTAGAAAGGAACAAATACAACTGGTTCTTATTTATAAACGGTATGTAAACATGAACACAAATCATAGGTACAACTGAACTCCCTGTTTACCCATGTTTATTTAGTGATATCATGGGTTTGACTATTTGTTTCAATAAAATTATATTTCGAAATATCTACATTGGCTATACAATCCATTTTTGGATCCAAGTATTTGTAAAATCAGTTCCTTCAGACAAACATAAAGTATTTATAATCAAACAATATTTTAACCTTGTTTTAAAAACAGAACAAGCACATACATGTATATAGGTGTCAAAAATGTATAAAAAAACAAATGGGCACCCAAAAACCCTAGAAATTTCGTTTTACATGAATAACATGAATAATGATTCAAGTTCATTTAATAAAACAAAGACGACCTTGAAAATTACTTCTAATAACATTAATTTTTATAAACGTACATTTAAGGAAACAGACTGTCTCGAATCATCACTTTCTCTAACATAAAGGTCTTTAGCTTTATCGCTTTTCCAACACATGCTTCTTGATAAGCCTTTCTCGCAGCAGCTGTAGCTGCACTTAACCTTAATGAATGGAGACCACATTTCAACTTGAATTACCCTAAAAGATAAATATGAAACAAAAATATTTCTCTCGCTCTTGTGAACGATATGATATTTCCTTCCCTTAGCTTGTATGTTTTTTATTTATTACAAAAAAAAAAAGAAAATTCTTCTGAACGGCAAAAGATGTCCGATTGAAGCAAATATTTCTAGAGTGCTTTTAATGGACAAGTTTTACTGACCAGAATATTTTGATATTTTTCATTTGGTCAGTTTTCGACTCACGTACAATATATGTATAATGTATAATGATTTCGATATGATCCCGTTTAAAAACAATATCGTTTTTTCTTAACGAAATAACTTCGTTAAATCTTAAAAATTAAGAAAGTCTTAATAAAGTAATTGTCATGAATCTCAAATCTAGAAGACATTTCTTTAACAAATCAACTAATTACAAAGTTGATAGGGTTACGCTTATTCATGCGACGGGAAATATCATAAAACGCGCTGTTAATTTTAGACAGAGGCGGATTATCTCTCTCCCCATACAATAAAGATATGAGAAACGTTGTAATAAGAGGAAGGAATGGGTTTGAAATTTATACTTGCAAAAATGTTTCAAATAATGTTTATAAGACTTAACAATATTCTTAGCTTTAGATTTTAAAGAAAACTTCTTAAGGTTTGCATGTGCTGCAGAGAGATCCGGGTGTACGTAGACAGCCAGTATCGATTTGTCTCTAAACTCCTACTTTAAGAGCATCAATTCTTTAAAACATCATTAATCTTTTAATACAATAACAAACCTATGTTGAATTAATTTACCTGTACCGGTTTCACAATATCATTATCAGGATGATAATGAAAATATTAAGTTTGATTACTTTAAACTCATTATCAAGTATCTTTTTTTAAATCAAGGATTATAATTTGGTTTTAACATTTATAAGTAAACTGATTTTACCTGTTTCACGTTTTTTTTAATTGTCATATTTGGATAGAGTATCGATAGAAATTAGACATGCTGACTTATAAATAACACGAAGTGGATAAAGTTAAGCATGTTTCATCTTATTTAAATAACAGCAATGATTTGATATTTCATATCAAAACAATTTTGTTTGTTTGCCGTAGCGTTCAGAAAAATGGAAGACCTTTTTTGTTAGTTTTATGCTTTTCATGTTTCAAAAAAAGAGACATATGTCAACATCCGTTTGGCCTGTTTCATATTCAGAATAGTTGAGTAGTTAACTTTCATATTTTATATTATATAATAAAAATTTATGAATAAGATTTTTAAAATGTTTCTTATGTTTCTTAAAATCATTAGTTATTTTGTATGAATTAATCAATTTTTTGAAGCTAATTTCACCTATCATGTATGTAGTAATTAAGTTAGAAGGATGATTTTAAAACATTAATTTATTGAGAAAGGTTCAACTTTTTTGTTGCTTTTTTCAGAACAATTACAAGAAAGACAGCAATGTTAGATCATTAGAAGTTACTGGATTCATGTAAATGGCTTCTAAAGAAAACATATACTTTCTACGTTCCTTTTTATTGTTTATAGAAGGTGGCTTATATATTTCAAAAGAAATTCTAAGTAGAGAATGTCAAAAGCCTGATACTTACCTGGATGAATTATTACAAAAATATAAACAGAAACTTAAACATTCATTTCACGTTAATCAATACCAGAAATTGTATCCGGAGTTTGGTAAAGCTGATATCAAGAACTGGGACTTGCAACTGTCAGTTGGTGTTTTGATAAATGTCTTTGGGAGAGACCTTAAATCGGGTGAAAAGGTCAAGCTTAAACTGTTAAGAGATTTAAGAAATGATATTTATATGCACTGCACTACTGCTGCTCTAGATGAAAGCAAATATGAAGACATAATAGAAGACTTAGGTGACATCATTACAACATTAGCGTCAACGTTTGATATATCAGTACAACAACGTTGTTCTAACTGCATCAAGCAGTTTACTTCCGGACCATTAGATGGTAGTATAACCTTTTTCATACTTTAACCCTCGGGAGAAATTTCAAATAATGCAATGCTCTTTTATTACAAACGAGCCACAGTTGATAAACTTAGCATCTCTATTTGTTGTCCGCACTAACAAACTACATAATAAAAATAAAAATAGAACTTTAACAGACATTCTTTATTTTCTCATAAATTACTCGCATTAGCCCGTGTTTGTAATTTACTTAAATTTGATCGAAAATAGAGTATATTGCATTATCTTTATATTTTCGATATTCGTCAATTTTCAACTATCTCTAGCGAAATATTTGGACGCTCCTATATGAAAATATGCTAAAAATCCAAAAAGATAAAAGGTAACAAAAGTAAAACAAGGTCAAAAATTGAAATGAACTTAGTACGGCTAGGGTTAAATTATTATATTACAACATTTGCCTTCTTTTTGAGATTAATTTTTCAAAAGAAACGCACATTAAATGAATATTATTGTAAGTAGTATAAAGGAAATACACCTACCATTTGATTAGGAATATCTCTTCAATACATCAAGTACATGTACGTACTTTCAAGCTTTTAAATCTTAATTAGATTGATCTGAAGCCTTAAGCATGTTATATTTATTTCTGATATAGTAGAAAGTTTATATTCAGTCTTTTTTGCAGCCGTAAAACCATCATTACAGACGTTAAATGGATTTAGCCAGTCGTGTCAAAAGAAGGTAAAAGGTGTGTAAAATGAATTTGTATATCGCTTTTATGTTTTTACAATAAATTCTTTCCCTATATGACAAAATATTAAATACGACATGATTTGTTATACACTGTCAATGAATGACTTGCTTTGATTTTATTTGATCTTGCCAATGGTAAATATACTTACCTTTACAAACTCGTCGAGATGTTAGAAGTAGCCGCCTTACTGTTATAATTGAATTATTTTCAGTTCATTTACTAATACATTTTTGCAATATTTTATTTTTTATATATAACAAACATAATAGAATTTTGATGTTAGTAGTTTCAAAGGTTGTAAATCGAAACTCTTTAAAGTCATTTATTAGATTTCAAGTTTTAATTGACATCTTATGACAATTTATCATTTTATAGAAAGGTTACTTTTATTATGATATATACAGTTGGTGTGCAAACAGAATTGGTTATATGTGGTCCTTCTACAAACTGGATAACTCTTTGTGAACAAACTCTTGAGACAATATTCAATCATGCTGAAAGCATGGCAAGTGAAAATGGGGGATTTCAAGAAATCCAAAAGAATGTTAATAGAATGCTTAGCTATTTGGAAAGCAATAAAGCTGCTGTATTCAAAGGATGCGAAAGGAAATGCATCATCCTGTTTTTTGAGTGCAAGGACTATGAAAACTTCCTAAACTTTCTTCATAAGGTAGAATGTCAGGAATACACAAGTTATTTAAGGGACTTATCAAATTCCCTTCATAGCTTCTTTAAACCAAGAAATCCGATATCTATCACATCCAAAGTTACATCCGAGTGTTTGCAATCGGTATTGATTGATAATATAAGTAAGTAAATTAAAGCTTACAGTTATCTTCTAATAATCTTATAATCGTTTGTTTTCTATACTTGTAATGTAGACAAAAAGTAAACTTTAATGTTATATAAATTGCATCAGAGAATACCATGCCAGCATTCTTTTTGTGCAGTATAATTCAACATCTTTATGTGAAGCTAACGTTTTATATATACATATAACTTTATGGACTTAGTGTATGTTGCAAATGTTTGCCTTGTCCCTTTTAATTAGTTCCTGCAATGTATTTAATTTTTGAATACATAATAAAGACTGATAAAAAAGATTGCTTTAATTTGTAAAAATATGTTATGTTCATATTCATTAAACACTTTATTTTTAAAGAAACTTCATCAAATGAAAAGGAAGAACAACGACATATTGTTCAAATATCATCTGAAGGAAATATCCATGACAACAAGCCAATGGCACCACGTGATGTAAATACAGACATGAAGCTGATTGAACAAAACAAAACCACTCTGTTGCTGAACCTTGAATTAATACATTGGGAAACGTTACCTCAAATGCTACAATCATTCCAGGGAAAGCAATTTTCAGATAGCTTGACGAAGGTTGCTGGCTCACTTTCACGTCATTATGGGGTCGAAATTACTCTCAAATCATCTATGAATGTCGGTGCTGTACTGGAGGCTTTAGAAGAATCAGGTTTGAATATTACTAACAGTTCAATTAAAAAATGAAAACATTTGCCTAATTAGTATTATAGCAAAGATTTAAGAATAACACAAATTTGTTTTAAACATTCAAAGATCATCTATCAAGTTACATTGTTTGTTTCAAATGAGTAATTGGTTTTGATTTCAAAGTGTCCAACGAAGTTACATTAGATAGAGAGGCCATAAAGTCGGAGAGCATCTATGCAAAGACACCAAAAGAGAATGATGTTCCCTTATTGCCAGGTACGTACACTTAAATTTAATTTTGTGTTATAATTGACTGAAACAGGAAAATAGAATGTGTTCATTAAGTGATGGTAAATCTACAAATTTTAGGGGATATGGACTTTGATCAATATAAAAAGATGGACATTTCAATTATTTTATATTGTGACGTAATGATGAAAATGTTAATAACGTTTACTTGTCGAAAAATGTATATACTCTAATATCTAGGCTTGTCAATTCTTTTAGACAAAAGTTTTTTTTCGTCAATTTTCTATCCTCTACAGAGAAACCAAACATGCTGATAAGTCAAATATCAGTGTTTCTTTTTAGTCGATATGTATCTCTTTGACATTGAATTCGTCAAAATCGTCAATTAGATATCATTTTGTCAGATGCATAATTCGATTATTGGTCTGTTTTGATCCTTTTGTTCTGCGTCTGATATTCTGAATTGTCTAAGATGTTGCCTTTTGTTATTCGAGAAAGAATGTAATTATTCGTCAATCCTTTATGAATACGATATGTTGTTTATATGAGTATTTTTCATGTTCTTGCATTTGACATAAAATTATGTAGATTGGTTCAGTTTTAACCCTACAGTTTTGCAAGAATTATGCAGAAATATTAGGTTTCTATATTCCTGTTTGACATATAAACCATGTCCAATTCGCTGTTGGACAGATTTTGTCATATTTTTTCATGTTCTTTGACATTCAACATTAAATTATCTAAAATTAATGCTTATCAATTGATCAAAACACAATAAATTTGCTAATTGGTAAATAAGGACAAATTTGGTCTGTGTTCTGTGAACGTCAACTTGCCTTGTTAATCTATATTCTCATTTTTTCCCTCATATACTCTGATCAAACATTAAATGATAAGTTTGTGTATCGGTTGATTTTCATGAATATTTGATTGATGTTCATTTAATTTCTTATCACACATTCAATTTGTTCAAGTGATCTTTATAAACAATATTTATTGCCTCACGATTTTATGTCATAACGTTTGTCTTTGCTTATTCATTGCTAACAGATATGAACTGTTTGCAAGCTAAAAACTTTATTGACTGAGGATGCAAATTATTATACAAACTAAAATATGAGAAACAAGCAATTAGCAAAGTATTGTAAGCAATACGGAAGGATCCTACCGGTTAGAACCCCAGCAACAATCTAAAGGGCCCAAAACATGAAGTAAATTAATCTGGACATGTTCTATACAAAAAGAAACATTTTTGTTATTTTATTAATTTATACAACAGCCGTAAATCAAACTAGAACACAAACATCTGGTACTGGGATGCATTTGCCTTCATCCCACTCACCTTTGGCAAACGTTCGAAGAGAAATGTTTATAAGAAAACATAATTTTAAATTGTCAAGTTGTGATAAGAGTTAATAAATAAGAAATAAGACATAAAAGTATAAATAGGGTAAAAGATTGATACGACTGTTAAAGATTTTAAGGAAAAAAATCCTTTCTATCAAATACATAACGACATATCGTAATCTATGCCCCCTTTTATTCACATATGGTCAAACTAGGTATGTCTTTCTATGCACTCATAAGTATAAGCTATCAAAAATCGCATTGATCGATCTATTTAATTTCAAACAAAGATTTGCAATACATTCAGACGTACACGATATATATTTAAAATATGATTTTTTTTAACATTAATTACATATGCTTGATGCAGAAATGTTAGACAAAATGTACAATTTATATAATTATGGAAATTATGAATGTTACCAAAAAAAACCCCCAAAAAACCGAGATCAACTGAATAAAAGTTTATATTTGCAATAATATGGCAATTTTAATTGGTAAATATTTTTCCGAACTTAAAACAAGGTTTACGGATATTAATTATTGACTCGATTGAATTTTTTTTGGCAAATAGTTGCTTGAGTCTGAAGTCATATATACTTATATAGCAATCAAAAAACTTACTCACATGAGCGAATCTACTGTTTCTGTTTGGATTCGAACCAACATGATTCAGAGACACGCAATTGAAAGTCATTGACCAAGCTAAGATTAACACGGAAGCCGCTGATAAGACACGTACTGAAAACAATCTGAAATAAAACAGAATGTAAATAAAACGTACATTTGTTACGGGGACTTTTATCTACCAGATATTTTCCATTACATTATAAAATGTAAAATAAGATGTCTCATGTGTTTACAATTTAACACATTTTATCGTTCAATACGGCTTTATATTCATAAATGGATTTCCCTATGATAAAAGTGTTTTAATCACAGTTGGACAAAGCCTAACAATTAGTAAATATAAGACGCAGTATTTTACCTTATGGTGATGTTCATTGCATACATTTTTCTTTTCAGAAGCAGTACAAACAGAACCTGATATTCTGCAAAAAGATAAAGGTAATTTGTAAATCATTATCATAAATATCTTAATATCTAACTGACAAATACAAAATTTCAGTTAAAGTAGACAACGAGAATATATTGCATATACGTAGTAGGTTCAGAATTGGAGAGTTAAGATTATTTTTCTAAACGTTCCTTAAAATATGGACCACGTTTTAGTATAATATCACGACATTTTGTACCCATCGAGAAAACATTAAGGTCGTCATTTCTCAATTAGCCGATAAGAGATGATTTGAATTTATCTGAATTGTATGGTGGCTGATTTGTGCCATTCGTGCTTTCGCCCCACAACACCGCCAAGCGAAAATTAACAAGTTAAAATGGCGGGGGCGCGCAGCGAAAACACGCTAATTAGCGAGGGCGCGGGGCGAAGTTTAATAAATAAAACTTCACCGCGCTGGGGCGGTGTTTGAGATTTAAGAAATAAAACGGCGGGGCGCCATAAAATTGTCTTTTTAAAATTGGTCTCAATTGTAAAGAATATCCAATATAAATAAATAACTATTTTTTGACCAGCGATGTTTTTGATCGATCTTTGATTGACATGGTATTTGTTATATATCTAATCATATTAGTAAATCCTTCGTTTTGCGTAAATGTCCCTCTTCTCCTTTTGCCACCCTTATGTCTATCCCGGTTTTGGTTTGGTGCCTTCTACGTGCCCTGCTGCGGTGGCTTGAGTGTGTCGGGGTCTGCGTCCTGTAAACGTTGCCTTTGTCGTGTTGATCTTTTTCTGATCTTTTTTTAAATTAAATTAATTTATTAATTTTTAAAGAGCGTGCAGAACTTTTCTGCTGATGAACCTTTCTGTCTCATTTAAGCAAAAAATACTCAATGTGAGCTTTTGTCATCACACTTGTCCGACTGTCAGAAGGTCCGTACGTCATTGCGTTTAAGCGTTAGTCTGTCCTTACGTCCTTCCTTAACTTTTATGAAATGACTTTTCAGAAACCACTGGGTTAAATTTTGATATCATCGGGAATGTTCCTAGCATGAAGCTCTTCTTAAACTGTGGAAATATTTTTACTCCAGTAAACACAAGAAGGGCTTAAATAGTTTTGTAATAATCTAATATTTAAACAAACTTCTTTTCTAAAAGTGCAAGGCCTTGGGTAAAGAATTTTGCCCGTGGCATCAACTAATGAGACTACAAAAAAATATTTTATAGTCCTTGGACAAAATTGGCCCCGCTCAAGTAGGCCATGGCTTTTCCTTATAAAGGAAATACTTCTATAATTACTTGAAAGTAAAGATGTTCTTAAAACACATGTAGCAGGCAGTACAAATGTACAGTAAGTACATACATTCAAAACTTGTTACTTGTCTCTCAGTAGAGTCAATTGCAATTCAGAAAAAATATGTTCATCTTTTTATAATAGAGTATTTTATGATGGGTTATATAAAAATAACTACGTAATTTCTATGTTTTCAATTCTTCTTGATATTCATGTTTTTCTTTTTTTGCACAAAATTGTTTGAGCATCCAGTTTTCATGATTTGTGTACTGTAATGGTTTTTTATGACTGTTATGATTGACATGAAAGATAAGTGAACAATTATAATATTGTTCCATTGTTTTATTACCCGATTTTTCTGATTTATTTCTTATCTTCCTGTCTGTATTTTTATTTTAGTTCAAGAATCATCTAGCTTAAACATATTGGGCCCTGCTAAGATTGGAAGGCGACATACTATAGATATTGGGTTTGAAAAACCTGCATCACAGTACTTAAAAGCCAAAGGTATCACAGATGACTCTGTTTTTCACAAAATACACATAAAGCAATGCATGTCTCATGTGTCTGTTCTTTTTTATGTAATTAAAAACAAACACTCTTGTTAATATGTTAGCCGACAATTCTGTTCATTGTTTAATTTTCCATCTCCGTTTCGTTTTATTCTATTTCCAGAAATATCTAGCTTTAACCTGTTGGGCCGCATTAAAAAGGGGAGACGACAAATCATAGATATGGGGTTTGGAAAACCTGCTTTACAGCACTCAAAAGCCAAAGGTATCATAGATGACGCTCAAAAGTCAAGTCCAACTTTTTTTTAAACAAAGACTGCAGTGATTGTCATGTCTGTATCATTCTGTAAGACACGTTTACAATGTGTGAATAATTTTATTCTTTCTCTCGGCATTTTTTTCAATTTTAAGTACATTGACAAAATTTTCTATGAAACTTAGCATGGATCTTAAAATTGATCATCATTTGGCATTATTTGTTCTAATATTGCTTCCATCTTTGGGAGCAATGTTAACAGAGAAAATAACCAATTTAGTTTGTCCAAATGCATTAAAGATACCAATGTTATTTTGTCCTATTTCATGTAATTATTATGAAATTTATCTTTATTTTCTTTCAATTATTGCTTTTCAGATACACAACACAGAATGACGATATCTTAAAATTGTTCTTTTTTGTAAATATTCATGATTTTAAATATTGATTGATTGATATAAATATTTCATTCATGCAAGGTGTTCAAGCGATGTTAAGGAATTGTGAGTGCAAACACTCCGGTTACTTATTACATGAAACGAAAGAAAGGCTAGTTTGGTTCAAGAGCAAAAAGAGCAAATGTAAGTTAATCAATATAATACTTTGTCTTTCAGATATTTCCATACCAGGCAATTAAGACTTTAATTATTTATGACAAATTGTCAAAGACGTAGAATAAAGAATAAATGTTTTAATACTCCATATTGTTGCAAAATTGTTAACTGTCACACTCCTGAAAATGACCAAAGCTATCTTTTGCTCGGATATCTAATTTTCCATCGCCATGACGTGTTTATAATTTTATCATTAACACCTTGCAATTTCTTAAGCAAGAAATATTTTATTCGTAACCATTTGGCGTAACCGTATGTCTAAATATTTAATAAGAGTTATTTCTATATGTTTTAATGACTCATTGTCAGCTAAAGAACTTCTTAAAACTATATCTAAGCACTGTAACGGTAATAACCAAAGTTATTTTAAACGTATTCTTTGTACTTTGTTCGACAGGGGTTTTGAAATATTTCATCATCTCAAAAGAATATAAAGAAGGCTGTGTATGGAACTTGTATTGCTTTGTTAAAGATTTGTCAAGTAAGCAAGAGTGGTCAATATCGATGCGAGAAGTAGAAAGGTAGAAAATCAAAGTCTATGGCTTATGTACCATAAATCTTTACATCATATGGCGTTGATCTAAATATACATCTATATTTATAGATTTAATCTGACAGTTTAAAACGCTAAAAAGGTAAATTTTGGACAGTCACAAAAGGCGACAAAAAAGAATTCTTCATGTGCTATGCTTTGTTTGGTTTATAGAAAATTTGTTTTAGTTCGATTGTGTAGGAAGCTGTAAGCTTATAGACACACTTTCGAATCTGTTCCTGGAACCAACCAGTACTGAGCAATGAGTGTATAGTATGTTGCTCAAGGAAACAACGACTTGCCCCTGACGGGATTTGAACCCATGCGACTAGCGATCATTAGATTACTAGTCTGACGCGTTTACCACTCGGCAATGCCGCAACATGCTTGGTTTGATTAAGGTTATTAAGAAATGGTAGTGGAAACCCAAGTTCAGCACTTAAGATTTAAAATCAACAGGGTTTTTGATGATGTTTATTTGCTCACTTGAAATTAATTACATACTGGGCACCTGAGCAGAACCATCTACTTCCTGTAACTTTGTTTGACAGGAAGTATCAATATACAATGCTATACACAACATTTGTCCATTATGTGCCCAATGTTATGAAATGTACAACAATTCAACAAGTTTTTCCAATTTAATACTTACTTAAAATGAAGTGATCTAGTAAGCGAGGCCAATTTACTCCAATATCGTGAATGAGTTGCTTGTGGGCATGCACGAGATATATTGATTATATATTTTCTGCCATTGGGAAACTCGACCAAATCGAGTCTACATTTTCGGTGTTTCATTGATTCCGAATACTCTTCCTTACCCTTTTTTTACAATTTCGCCATGTACATAACATATCAACGTATTCAACAATGTTCACATTTCGTTAATATTTCAGACTTTTTTTATTTCGATTTAGTATTCAGTTTATTATATATCCTAATATATTTCAGCCATTGGCTTATAATGTGTTTTTAGCATCCTGGAATACAACATGGGCATTGTGGGGATTAAAATCATATTCAGTGATCACAAGACACCGGAGCTGATACTTAAATGTTTTACTGCCAAAAGTAGAGAGGTACAGTCCAAAAAAACTTTTGTTTAATAATTATATTGCTTCGTTCTATATAATGAATATTTATGAAATTGTTTTATAAACTATCTGCAAGTCCTTAGTTTACAAGGACAGTTGCCTAACCATTTTAGATGCCTAAGACACTTTGAAAACATTGAAACATTTATAAAGTATATTAGAGATAATGGAGGTATATTTCTTTTCTCATATTTTCCAATTTTTTATGTGACAGTATTAACCATTTTCTTTTGGTTAATGAGCGATATAAAATACGGTATACAATGTATGTTGACAAAAATTAATGGTCAACTTATTTATGTTTGTATTTCCTTTAAGAAAGATGTTTCAAAGAAAAATATACAGAACCCAATATTGGTGGGATTAGTTTCCCTCCGAACAGATGACAAATCAACTTTCCGGCTTTACTGGTAAAAATATCCCAGCTGCAAAAAATAAGGGCAAGCGATTTGAAGTTTTTGCAAAATCTTGACTTAAGTTTCATTTGGCCCATTATATTCAAACTTCATGGAATAATTGTCCATATTAGGTAGAAGACCCCTATTGATTTTGGGGTCACAAGGTCAAAGGTCAAGGTTTCTATTACTTTCAAACTAAAAACAGTTTCCGGAGCATAACTTAAGTTCCATTTGGCCCACAGTGTTCAAACTTCATAGGATGATTGTCTATATTAGGTAAAAGACCCCTATTGATTTTGGGGTCAAAGGTCAAGGTCCCTATTACTTTGAAATTGAAAACAGTTTCTTGAGCATAACTTAAGTTCCATTTGGCCAACAATATTCAAACTTCATAGGATGATTGTCCATTTGGGTAGAAAACCCCTATTGATTTTGGGGTAACAGGGTCAAAGGTTAAGGTCACTATTAACTTAAAACTGAAAATCGTTTTCGGAAAATAACTTAAGTTTCATTTGGCCCACAGTGTTCTAACTTCATAGGAGGATTGTTATTCGAAGGAAGTAATACTTTATTTAATTCCGATGTCTTACAAATGCTTCATCTTTACTAAAAAGCACTTTCGGGCATATAATGCTCCGCCTAGCGGTGCTCTTGTTTCACTTAGAATTCTGACACAATAATGCCTTTTTAGAGCGAAACAAATCTGGGATTGATAAATAACTTATTCAAAAAGATAAAATTTACATCAATTCATTCAATGTTCCGGTCAACAGATGTTGTCTCTTTAACTTTTGATTACATTTATGACAGTCTGACAATTATACATCTTTCTACATGCAAAACCGCCTCTTTAGGCACATTTAGGTATCCTTTGAGCAGTAATTTTAATGCGATGTAGGGCATCAGCCGGAAAGATAAGAAAGTCACATAGAATTCGTAAGGAAGCTTTCAAAAAATATTTTCTTTTCCAATTTTCTTGTCGCTTATTGTTTTAATCTGTCAACAATTATTTATTGTCTGTAAGAATATTCAAATAATTTACCTTTCTTTTTCAAAGGTGTAAACATATAAAATCCCTCTTAATGAAACAAATTATAGTCTTTCCTCGCGACAAATATATAAAAATGTAATGGCGGACAATATGTCGCTTCGGATAGCCTATTGTGTACTTCATGCCGTTTTTACGGATAATGACTCGTCACGGTGTAACCTGTAATCTTTTCTACGGAAGCCCTGTCAGGCTGTCTTGAGTTAGAAGTAAGGCAACATTTCGAACTTAAATGTTAGGTCACTAAGAGGTTTTTTACAGGCGAAAAACACCATATCGACTGCAAGATGGACATGAAGATGTATGTGAAAAAACTTTTTATTATTTTCTTTAATTTTATATTTTATTATTAAAAATTGTATAGTATGATCACATGATTATATCTGTTTAACTGAAAAGCCTTGGTTAAAAACAACCACTTTTAAAAGGAGGCAAAGGTCTGCCAAGCTATCATCAACAGGCTAGGAGAAACTCTATAAGTGACTTTTTCGTCGGTTCTAGCTAATTTAGCCAAACCTTGCTACAAAAAAAAAACCACACACAAAAAGATCTCCGATCAGGGGCACACGCGTCAGAATAGATATATGTTGCCTGCCGTTGTGTAATTCCACAATTGTCAAATTTGGAACAATATTTAAAATCGTGTAACTTCAGTTGTATAATAATTGATAACGTTGGCTTTTTTACCTATATATTAATGATTTAATTATATTTCTTATTGCAGAACCTTCTTTATTCCTTTTCCGGACGACGAAAATGGTCTCTACATGGGCATGGCTATTCGGAATTGGCTGATTATTATTACACCAATTTCTCGTGTTGTGATCACGGATTTAGTTGTCATTCGCAGAGTCGCGCAGTTAACAAGACCAGTTCTGAACTAAGAATTATTATTATTTTTCCATAGTTTATCATACAAGGATATTTTATTGTTATTATATATTGGGCATAATATTAAAGTAACCTTGCGACGACTTATACTAAAAACTAACAATTTTGCCCGATGCAAAATACGTACAACTATGGACAAAAAAGGGATCACACTAATTGTAGAAATCTAAAGGAGTACCATTGTGTAGGTAATCTATCGATGTGGCAAATATTGGTGACTGACTACCGGCTTGTAGTGTCTTGAATTCTGTGATGGGGCTAATACGAGAAATCTAACCCGAAGGAACTAATGAACGCAAAGCACGCCGATAACCTCGGCGAAGATATGCTTCGAAAGGTCCTTACTTCGTTGGTGGTATCGACAAGTTCAAGCCATACGGATTCTGCATCCACGGATCGATCGATGGGTACAGTCGACACTGTTTTTAAACAGTGAAATTATCAATTTGATAATTTCACTGTTTTGAAGCTCGGTACGTTGTTTCAGTGAAATACAAGCGTTCACAGTACTGGAAACTAATTTTATGACGTGACGTCGTAAATGACGTCACGTTGTATTATTATTTGGCGCCCTTTACATTTAGTACTAGGTTAAAATGTCTTTTTAAACGTCTTTGTTCATATAATAAAAATAAAATTTGTTTAGTTTGATATAAGATCGAAATATATTTTACCTCGTGAACACCAAAACACTGATGTCTAAAAGTTCGTATGTGTTAGTTCTAATGTCCAAGTTCTAAGATCGTCGGATCACTTTTAGAATAGTAATAGGTTCTTCACTGCCACAGGCTTACTATACGTTTCATATACTATAACTAATAGGTAAACGTTTAAGTTGACGCAAGCTTGCTTTAATAGTGTGCACAATATATGATGACAATGTAATAGCTTTGTATGATTAAATATGGAAAAAATAATACTTAATCAGTTCGAGTCTTGTTAAATGCGACCCTCCCAGAATGACAGCTAAATCCATTATCACAGCTTAAGTAACTGGCGTAAAAACAAACGGCAACATTCCAAACATCAATGCCTATTACGCGACCATTTTTGTCGTCTTTGAAAAGTATAGAGATGATTCTGAAATATAAAAAATATTTTTTTTTCACACGTTCGAAAACCGATTCATTATTAATTATTATAAAATTGACAGTAACACAATTTTAATAACTGTCCCAAAATTGACAAATTGGGTAATAACAATTTCACAAAGACAGGCAACAGAAATCAATTTTGACTCTTGTGTGTCTTATTGTAGTTTTATTTTTTTGTTTTGGAAGCAAAGGTTTGGCTTAAATAGCTAGAACTGGCTAAACACCAACAAATGGAGTTTGACCCAGTCTGTTAAAGATAGCGTGGTCGATTTTGCCTTCTATTGAAACCAAACCTTTAATTTGTACAGATATAATCATCTAATCTGATAACGTTATAGCTATATCTCTACAACTCTGAAAAATTGATATCAAAGAAATATAATAAGATCGACTAAATCAAAGAAATATAATAAGTTGTTGATCTTAGATACACTTGTCTATCTTTCAGTCAATGTGACGTTTTACCGCTTTTACGGAACCTCTAATTTCTAAGATCTAAGTTCTCAGAACTTAACTCATTCATCTTAATTCGAATTGTAACTTTTTAGCTTCTAACTTAAAACGGTTTCAACGTTCTTTATTTTCTTCTATTTATCAAAGCAAACAGAAACGTTGATTTTTAAAGTTTTAGCTATAGTCTTCATACATATTTGTAAAATTCGACTGAAATTGATTTTGAAAAAACAAATTTAATAATCAAATTAGATTGATGACATGCCATTAAAACTTGTATCTAAATGACTTCACCACTCGTAAGAATATTGCTAAACGTGCCCTCGTTGAAATTCAATTTCATCTTACACAAAAACTAACAATTATCATCAATCGTATTTACCGTCTATGTTTTACTCTTAATAGATGATATGAAAAGTGTGAAAGACACTTGAAATAAAATCTTTTGGTGACGGAAATAGTTTCTTTCTGCTCTTGCAAATAACAAATTAGTTTTGTGTTTCATTCAAATAAAGACATGGTTAAAGATATTGAATGAGGCACATGAGGAAAGTATGTCGTCATTTGCGTAAGTATAACTCCTGTTGTTACATCTAGTAAATATATTTTGATTGTAATTTATTTTGTAATAATCAAGGTTACTTAAATATTTTTGTCAATACAGATATCGTCTTTGTATCATCAGACTTGGATTGTCATTACAATTATGCTACCGTCTTAGTGTCATCAGAATCAGAATGTTACTTAGATGACGCTAACTTCTTTGTATCATCAATATCAGATTATTACGTTAATGACGCTACCGTCTTTGTATCATCAATATCAGAGTATTTCCTCAATGTTGCTACCGTCTTTGTATCGTCAGAATCAAAATGTTACCTAGATGTCGCTACCGTCTTTGTATCGTCAGAATCAAAATAATACCTAGATGTCGCTACCGTCTTTGTATCATCAGTATCAGATTGTTACCTTAATGACGCTACCGTATTTATATCATTAGTATTAGATTGTTACCTCAATGTTGCAACGGTCATGTTTAAACAACGTCAGGATTGTGGCAAAGAAAGTACTATTCACATTTTCTAAATAAAAGGTACAATTATACCAGCTTGATGTATATGCACGGATTGTAATCAAGAATACATTTTTATGATCATTTTAAACTTTGCTTTATACCTCTTTTTAACATCATTCGTAGAAGAATGTTTTTTACACAACTAAGCAAACTAATTTTCATCTTTAAACAGCGACAGCGGCTTCGGGAGCGGAGGGTCCGACACAAGCAGTAAGTATTGGATCACTATAGATTTTGATAAACGCATACATGCTTTATCTTCAGAGTCAGATTCATAAAATATTGCATGTAAAACAATCTAAAGAATGCTTTAATAATGCGGAGAGCTCTTACACTTGACATTGACTTTTTAGGGCATTCGAGACGTTTTGATTTACCTGAAATATCGGATACAACATGTAATTTAGAGTAAAAGAAATAAATGATGAAATAAAAAGTAAAGATTTACCTTTTGTTATTCAATTGCACAGTACAATTTTAAAATAAAATATGAAGAAAATGGAGAATTAAAAAAAATATTCACCTTTTCAGTAGTTGTTTTTAGAATCTTTATTATATATAGATTCAAATGGCAGCTCATTTTTACCTTTTAATGGTTTCCAATAATAAACATCGCTTTCATTATTAAAAAAATAGGAGCAATGAACCAAAATTTAAATATTTTTTTCAGAAAACTGGAGAGAATCGGAACGAACATCAATTGTGGATAAAGATGACTATGGGTATTTACATGGTAACTTTTAAAGTTATACAATTTTCAAAACATTACACTTTAATAAAACCTACAAATAAAAAATATAACAAAAGTACAAAGAATTTATCACTCTTTAGGTTTACTATTTAACTGCATTAGTTTTTGTATAGCGGTATACGACGCTCCCGATACTGCGTCAAGTATTCGGACTTTGATGTATGTATGTTTTATGTAAGGACAAATAAATGTAAATGCTGATCAGAGCTCAGTAGGTTTTTGTACATGTGTTTTGAAGTCATGTATGTATGTGCTGGCAAATTTTGTAATTTATTGTTAATCACCTTCCGCCTAGCTGAAAGGGGATTATAGGAATGGCCTCCGTCTGTCAGTCCGTACAACTGTCTGTCCGTTACACTTTCGTGTCCGCGACATAACTTTTAAATCTATGAACATTTTTTAAAATAACTTGGCACAAGTAATTATCATAATGAGACAATGTGCAAAAGCAACGATTGTGTTGCTACCCCCAAGGTCAAGGTCACACTTAAATGTCAAGTGTTAACTCTGTTAGCATCCTTTGGTAGTCTTTTATCAAGTTTGCTTATATTCATTTGATTGGTCCCTTTTAGGGCCTCTAAGGCTCAAAATAGAAAAAAAAAAAAAAAAAAAAAAAAAAAAAAAAAAAACATTTAAACATTTTCTACTACAGAACTAATTGATGGCTGATCACCAAGTTTGTCTGAATTTTGTCTGTAGCATTCTTAGGAACTCTTTTATCAAGTTTGCTCATATTAAATTGATTGGCCCCTAAAACACTAAAGCTAAAAATAGAAAAACCTATGAACATCATTTCCTACTGAAATAAACGATAGATGATCACCAAACGTCGTAGCATTCTTAGGTAGTTTTTTATCAAGTTTGCTCATATTAATTTGATTGACCCTGTTTAAACTAAAGCTTAATGTCCCAGGTCATGGCATTTCTTCAAATAATTGTTCAAACATATTCTATGCTCAAATTGAGTATTAGAAAATATTGACAATGGATAATTTCCAATACTGAAAAGCAGTTGTGTCTGGTGAGCGACTCAGGACCATCATGGCCTTCTTGCTTATGGTTTGTATGTACCGTTTTATTCAAAAGTTTGAAGTACTGTTCAGAACAAACTACCATGAAAGAAATACAGACAGAATCTTAGATAAGATAATCTTTTTTTTTGCATATTATACTGATGTTTCCGTTTGTTTTACCCATGCTTGAAATTTTGTCGTGCATTGGGTAGCAAGTCGCATGCTATACAACAACGCGCGTTTTGTTAATCATTTAAACGCATTCTATGAATTAACTGTGTTAACCATTTAAAATATGATAAGGGTGGAAACTCGGCAATACAATTGACCACCAAATGGACGGTATGCTCAGGACGGACATTCTGACTGGAACCGCAATATATAACATACATAAGTATCTCATGTTTTTTTCAGTTAAACATGTATTTGCGGCAAAAGGGAATGGTAGCGGACATCGCAAACCTGCCTGTTCAAATGAGAACGATCCAATTCCATTATATGTTGACATTGGTAATTATCTAGGAAAGTTTATTTTTGTTTTTGATAGTTTTTCTTCAAAGTTTATATCATGGAGACTTATATGCTTGCATCCACATGAGCGAAAGCATTTCAAGAAATCATCCTTGAGAAAATGATCTAAAACTTTAAAGAGAGTTGGTCTATAATGGAAAGTCTGTAAACGTTGATAGTTTTAAGTTATCAATCGTTAAAACATATCACAAAAGATGAAGTATGAGATGAATGTTCCAATATTACACATGCACATTTAAAATATAGATAATAAACTGTTCTGGAACAAAATAATCATTCATCATATCAATGTGCATACTAAATCACGTAGAACTTTATCATTTTTTCAAAAGAAAAATGTTGAACATCCAAATAACACATTTCAATAATTAATTTTTTATCAATATTTGGAAAATGTGCCGTTTGAAAATAATTTTGCATCTAGTATGAGGTTAGAAGATAATGCATCAACTTTTACTGCTGAAACAAAAGCTATAGATTTAGCATTGTCATACATAGAACAGCATACCCATGATAAATTTGTGATATTTTCTGACTCGCTTTCTGTTTTAATATCCATTAAAAAAAGATCTGACAATATCATGATAAGAAAACTTCTTTTACGATCTCATGATAAACTTAAAACAAAATCTGTTAAATTATATTGGATTCCAAGTCATGTAGGTATATGAGGAAATAAAAAAGTAGATGCTTTAGCTAAACACTCATTAAATTTTCAAAAAACTGACTTATTGTTACCTGCTTGTGATTTTAGACCAGCTATAGATAAACTCGTATCATCTGAATGGAAAGCAAATGGGGACAATGCCGTTTTTTAATAAACTTCACGATATAAACCCATCTCTTGATGTGTCACCATCTCTATCTCTGTCAAACCGCCATGATCAAACAGTTTTTCTTCGATGCCGAATCGGACACACTAAAATTACCCATTCTTATCTCCTCACGAATGACAATGCCCCTATCTGTGTAGCTTGTAATGAAAATGTTACTGATTAGCATTTTCATTTTGAATGTCATGATTTTTTACAGGCCCATAATAGATTTTATTGCGTAAATTCACTCAAAGAACTCTTTAATACAATTCCATCAAAAAACATCATTGATTATTTGAAAGAGATAAACTTGTATTCTATGATCTAATTGGCTAATTTGTATTGTTATTTACAAAGTTTTACATAACATTTTAAGCCTATTATAGCATTCCGCACGATAAGGCCAGTTATGTGTTGACGTGCCGTAAATATACAAACAAACAAAATAAAACTTGGCAAAGTCTTACAGCCTCTAACGCAAGGTGGTAACGCATTCCATAATTTCGCTGCAGCTGCCTGGAAGCACCTTTCACCATATCGTACTGTCCGAGATTTAGGCACAACAATTGTCACTGAGTTATTCTGGGACGTCAGATTCCTGGCTGGAGTGTACATGTCTATCATGTTTTTTTATATAGGCTGGTGACTGAAACGTTGTGGTCTAAGTCGTGCAAACCATTATAAAGTTTTAAAACATTTTCAATTTTGCCGTGTTGGGCTTTCTTTAGGGATTCTGTATTTATCTATTTTATGATCACATCCGTGTTATTTGTGCCGTGTGGCGGCTGTAAAAAGTCTCCCCGTACATTTAATCAATGATGTTATATTTTCGATCCTTGAAGATCGTTCAGCACGACATTATTGTTGTGCTTGTGGTGTTTTTAGTTTCAACTTTTCGGCATTTTCTAGTTGGGTGGTTCCAATATTCCTACTTGAATAATGTTGAATCACCCTTAGGATATGTTGCCTGCTTTTTAAATTTGTCTTTTGACGTCTTATCTGTGATACGCAGGCTTCATAACCTCTGATCCCCTTTCCAAATTCCATTTTATTTAGTTCCGCCCATTGTTTTCTCGTTTAGGGCACACGCTATTTATTACTTGGGGACCATACGCCGCTTTTCATGGAATGGCACGGAAGTGTCACATTGAAGGTTCCATGATAACCGCCGTATGAACACATCTGCGGATGTTTCTAAATTCTAAATTTTACTATTTCATGTTTAAATGTTGAATTCTGCTTAAGCCGGTGCTAGGGGGCGTGGACGGTAACTTGCACTTTCCAGTACCGTCCATGAACAGGCTCAATCAAACCGAGCCTGCAACATTTTCAATTTTGCCGTGTTGGGCTTTCTTTAGGGATTCTGTATTTATCTATTTTAAAAACCATATTTTTTCTTTATTTCTAATCACAGAACTTAGTTATCTATGTTAGCCATTTATTGATACCACATCAATGTTTTCTTTATTTTCTATAGCAAAAATGTACATTACAATAATATTTAAATAATTACATCTGTAATATACATTTGCCGACAATCTCGCACATAACTGTGCATAAGTACGTACTTTTGTCCGAACCTTTTTTTCCTTTGCCAACAGCAAAACCATCATCCGTCGATATTGTGTCAGAACCAAAAGGTATTGACGCATTTAAACAAAGCGATGAATCGTCTGGAATAAGAAAGAAACTGAGACATTACGAGATTATCTTTCCAGACAGTAAGAATACATTCCCTATATAAACGAGATAATTTCATACCTTTTTGCTTCAAGGGCAACGGACACAATAATAAAACATGTAGATTGTCTTATGAGTGGTTTCTTTTTGATGTTTGCTTTTACACAACTATGCCGATTAACACATATCCTTCTTATTTGCGTAAACTAATGTTTTAATTTATTATGTTAACATATTTTATCGCATATTGAGTTATTTGGTGAATCTGTTATTTAAATTATCATCATAATATTTTCATATTTGGTCAAATTAAATGTAAAATTCAGAAAAGGATATGAAATTATAATTGAACTTATGGTCTCATCAGTTTCTTTCTTTATTTAAATTAATGTCTGGATCTAATTTTCCATTACTTAAAGATGAATTTTAATTGAAATATGAACGAAACAAAATATTTATAAGGTTACACACCATTTAATATACAAAATGATAAGGACAAAAGAAATGGTGTAGGTGAGAAAACCTTGTCAGACAAACTTTCGATTCGACTTCAGGTGGAAGATGGTCATAAATACATTCCATATGTCGTTGATTTTTTTACTTAATTGCTCAAATATACCCCATATCATTTGCAACCAAACATAACTTACGAAAACAGGTATGCATGCAAACAAGTAAAAGTTTGTTTATTTGCTTATCCATCTGGTTTGTGCACAGGTTTGACACCTAACCGGCTATCTTTGATACCCAAGCAGTAATTGCAAGTCTTTCACAATGACCGAATGGTTTCATGTTGTATTTATTGTTCATGGTTTAATAAGTTCTGTATGAAATATAATCGTTAATTAAAATACTTCTGACCCAGGTGTAGATGTGCATGATTCAAAACATACAGAAAGACGTGAGACAATAATCTAAACGACGTACTGATTTATATTTATCCTGCTTGACCCAAAAGTGATATGCATTTGCCAAAAGTTTTGAGCCAGGCCAGCCTACACCTTCATGCTGTATACTGTTTGCATCTTATTTTCAATTTGATATTTTGATTCAATAAACTTTGAATGGAATGTTTCATAATAAAAGCAGGGGCAATCCATTTAAAAAACAACATAATGTTTACGGTTAGGAACATTTATATCTGAAATTTGTTAATACGTAAAATATGCTATAATACATTCAAATATGGACTGAAGATGCATCTTATGTCTGTCGGCCTAAAACAGCAACATCCGTCAAGATGGTTGCTAACGTGAAAGCAATAAATGATACCGGTGCAAGATTAACCACTAAGCAGATAGCTAGTATCGTTGATATTTCAATAGGAGCAGCTCATACCATTCTCATACGTGATCGCAAAGAACTATGCTAGATGGATTCCCCATTTGCTGACAGATATTAAGCAGAATTGAGCTCGCGTATAATGCATAAAGTTTTTGCTTAAACAGTATCCAAATTTCAATGTTCGGTCATTTTGCAAATGTCGTCACAGGTGACGAAACATGGGCTAATTTTTATGAGCAAAATCCAAAATATAAAATTAAGATTAGAGGTATAACCCTGGCGAAAGACAATGCAATGCAAATAGTGCTGCCTGATAACGCTTCATCGTACAAGGCGTCTGCAGTGCAAACATTTATGAAACGAACAAAACATGTCTTATTTTTTGTGTGTGCCTCTTAAAGTGGCAAATAATTGGAAATGGTTCATTTATATAATCAGATATGGCTGGACAGGAAATCAATGCGTCGGAACAAGTGAACACAGCACTGGAGGAAATATATGCAAAAGAAATTGAGCCGTCTAACACTCAAGAGGCCGAGGGTAAATATTTATTTCAGCCAAGTGTCATAAACAGACAATAGATAAGATAAGATAAATATATAGCTTAATTGAATCAGATTGATGTCCCTTTCTAATTTTGATATAATTTAATGATTTCAAAGTTCTCATTTTATTTAATTTGTTTGAAATTAATTTAACAAAATCTGTTAAAGGTGCTGTCGGAATGCGAAGTCTTGCACAATATTCATCTTTCGCATCCATAAAAAGCGATCAAGGAGAATCAGTTGAAGATTTTTATGCCATGGCGTGTATAATATCACATGACAGTCATATGAGAAATGTGAGTGACAATGTCTCGTATTTAAACAAAGGTCGATGTAGGGATAGCAGCAGCAGTAGTAGTGTATGCGGATCAACTCCCATTGATACACCTGCTCGTTTAACAGAGGTTTGTATTATAACAAAATAGGTTCTTTAATTGTAGAAACCAAGTATATCTGAGTAATTTACAATTTATTGAAGACAGAAAAAAGCAAAGAAGACGCGAAAAATGTCATCTGTGGATATTCGATATTTACGTATCACGAACAATGATAATCATACAGTTTGTGTGTATTATAATGCACGTTTTAAGGCAACATTTGTTACGTATAATATCCATTACAAAATAATTAATAAAAAGAAAGATGTATAATACTTCATGACTCTAAAATAAATAGAACCAATCATATTGATGAAACAGAGTTGGTTTTATGCATCGTGAAGAATTTAAATACAACATTTTATAAGGATAAAACGAGTGCTTTTGATATATTTAATTATATAAGTACGGTATAGTATATCGTCTTTTTTTACAGAACTTTGAAGAAATTGACTACTTCTACACTGAAAATCAATTTGATAAGAAGTAAGCCTTTTTTTAATCGAGAGAGATTAGCTTTATGTGACTCGCATTCAAAGTCACATATTCTTAAAAATTTTATTCCATGATTTCTTTTTTAATTTCATGAGACTATTAACTGAACAAGGTTACCTTGAAGTATTAATCAAGTAAACAAACTTTGTAGTATATTGACACCGTTTATTTACTATCCTAATCAAACAACATTCACCAAAGCAGAGAAACAAAGTTTCAAGTTTCAAATTATAACAAACTTTAAACTTCACGTATATCAGCAACACAATATTAATTTAGCTTTAATAAACCAGTCAATATTGGCAATGTTTATGCAAATACATTTTCCCGTCAAAAATGTTTCAAGCATTGTTTTAAGTTTCAAATGGTATATTTCCAGCATTGTGAGTGGCGTGCACGCATCGTTACTACTTTATGGTTGATTTTGCAACATTTTGGTTCGTCCCACAACTAGTTTCCGTTGTTACCTGAAAAACAAAGACATATTCTTTCGACAATTTATTCGAAAGGATAACCAACTTATCTTTTTACATTTTTGCAGGGATTTAGATTTCATGTAATGGCACCAAAAGGGGTTATGTGCTTTAAAATATACGAGCAGGTATTTTTTCACCTTGTTTTACTATACTCTGAAGTTTACCAAGATATCGTTATATTATTCCTCATAGTTTAAGTTATTAATATTAGAATTGTTCACTGGTTACGTTATATAAATTTGATGTATGTTGAGCTCAAACTAGTATTTGCATTATGGCTCTATATAATTCTTATAAGAGAAATTGGAAGAACGTTTTTTTTTTTCAATCTGAATATTATAATATTAAGGTTCATTAAATATTTCCTCGGTATTTAATATGTTATCCTGACCTGGTCCCTTGTTTACAAAATAAACATCAGGAGTAGGATCAAAATAATAATTATGTTTCAAAGCACAATAGGCAAAAGAAATCCATCTTTTTGTTAAAGTTTTAAGTTTTCAGTAATGTTAAAATGGTGAATGAAGTGTATGTTAGGTGTTTTACGAATGAAGAAAGTAGCGCTGAATATCCAGTAATGTGTCGTGAGGTAGCAAAATGTAAACAAAGTAGTATTTTGACGTTCAAACAAAATACTAATTCACTATAATTATACCAGTTGCGAATAGAACTAAAGATGCAAAAGATAATTAATGCATAAAGCCAATAAATATTATGTTTTAGAAACTATAACAAGATATGTCTTTAGGATACGAATAAGGAATACCATTACAAACAACGATATACATTTGTAAACTGGATAATAAGGGTCACATTTAGGATAAAGATAAATACTTGGATAAACATTTATATGTTGTAAAGGAACTTTTCTGTAACAATGTTGTAATCTTATATTTTATTGTATTATTCAGGATGAGCAATTATCACTTTATAAGCAATTCATTGTTTCCTCTGCGGTGTTTGGATCATTGAAAGCGTTTTCAAAACACTACAACGTCCATTGGTTGCCTTAGGAAGAGTTCAAGGTCAGGCTGACTACAGGTTATAAGGCACGTCAAACAGCGGAATTATGATAAAATATATATGCCGAATATAATCCGTCGTCGTCATAAAGCATGTCAAACAGCGGAATTATGATAAAAGATATATGCCGAATATAATCCGTCGTCGTATATAAACAAAATGGCTGTGTTTCAAATTAAATTAATTACGCCTTATATGACTAAGAATCATGTTTGCGCGAGAACTATGAAATCAATTTCATAGTTATTTCTGAGGATGTTATTTTTAATCTCAATTACATTTTTCAGTGTAAATTATTATTTTCATCAATCGAACATATCATATTAGTTAGTTTTCTTTTGTGCTATTGAATTTCAAAACCAGTTGAATAATTTTAACAGTTTTTCTCTTTTTGTGGATTTTCCTTGATGCATTTTCCCCTTTAATTTATGTACATTGAAAGAATTTTAGCATTTTTTCTTTCAGTTTGCTGATTAATTTTAGCAATGGAAACTCGTGAAACATTTTGAATGCTATCAGCTATAAACTTTGAAGTGTTTTGCGTTGCAGTAGTTACTTGCCAAATTAAATTGGTTGATTTGTTCCTATATCAAAAAAAGTCATAGCTTTAGTAAAACATTTGGTGTATATGTTTATATTTCTGTAAAATTGAGTTTTTGTTATATAAAATACTCTGATTAAGAATATTTATCGTGACATTTTTATTGCTTTCATAGTGACTTTATATTCTACATGTTCTATATTATGTACAATTTCATAATATATACAATGTAACTAATTACTGCATAAGCATTTGTTTCATTGATTTTTTTATTCATTGAAAAGCCCCCCCCCCTATAACAAGTTCAATTGACTATGAAACTATGAAAATTGCTTCAATTCTGATCAAACTGGGCACAAATTGAGACTTGACAATGAGTTTTCTAAATTAAATTTTCTTTCACCATGGCAACAAGGGAACCAAAAGTTTCAAAAATCACTCTTTTGCCCATCAAATCGTATTTCAAAGTGCTGCAACTTCTCAATGAATTAAGATAGAGTCAAAGGCTTTTCATAGTTGGTTCCACGTTCCCTTAAGATCGACTCGAGGCCATTTTTAGTCTCTCAAAAGTCCATAAATTTCTTGGCTGCTGCCCCCTTCAAACCTTAAAGCAGAAGGGGGGAGGGGGGCACATTTTCCCTCTGGCACCCCCTTGACGTATTTATTTGATAGGGGACGGCAATCACTTCTTTTAACAACATCTCTCAAACGAAAATAGGTCATTAGGGGAAATAGGGGCGGGATGAAAAGGCGTGCAAAGACGTCTCTATGAAGTAATGGGTTAAGAGAGATGAAATTTTAGCACATATACATAGGAAAAAGTGGCGCGTTGACCCTCAAACAAAACCGTGACACGCGATATACGATACGACAACGGCGCTTCGCATTGTTGAGCGTCATTTGAGATTATCGTGTGTCGTTTGATAATGTCGCCGCCGCATTAGCGACATAATAAATGTCCCCCACAGGATTCTGTAAAATTCACACTCAGCCTGTAGAGTAAAATAAGCACTGACGAATATTTTTCCTTTAGTATAACGGATTGGACATAAGAATATCTATTTCCTTCAAAGAAAATACGTTTTTAGAATAATTGCTTTTCACATATTTGTTCAATACTAACTAAAGGAAAGGTTACATTTTGACATTGTCTTAATAAGTACATGTAAATGATTAGTTATAAATTATGAAAGTGTGTCATTTGTGGTGCACTGATACAGAAATCGTCTTTATAAAAGTTGTTTTAATAAAATTTAATGAGCTTATGTTTCCGTGCTTCAGTATTGTTAGTGCCCAGCCAATCAGTTTTACATACTATTCAACGGCAGGAGTACATAAGTTTTGTTACCATCTATGATATCTTAAAATATTAGGTATGTTAATTGACGCATTGAAGCTTTTTTATGCTTGGGTAGATTTTATGCGCTAAGCGCTAATTTAGAGTGAATGTGGATCGAATCTCAACACAATGTTCCGTTTTTTAATTTAATGTTTCTTTCTCAGGAGATTATCACATATAACACATTAAATATGCACAGGTTATTCTGACATTAAAAAATAGATATTAAATCAGTAACAAGTATTTCTAGTGGAAAGCCACAATGATATCTCTTGGAAATCCAAAATCTAACTGTCCAAATTTCTTTTCTAAAAATAATTTAGTTTTACACTGACCAATAGAATTTTAATATCTTTTTTACTTAAATAATAAAATGACCTGGTTTTAATACAAAATAATGTAACATAGCAACATGGAATTTATAACAACAATCATCACCTGGACATTTTAGCAGTCATAAGGTTTAACAACTTATTATGTACAGACAGCTTAATTGACATTATCATCCAAACATAATAGATTTTTAGAACAATTGATTGGACAAAGAATAAAAATCTGGAAACAAAGTGAACCATTAATCACACAAATATAACAAGAGAATGGTAGACTCGGTTTGATTGAGTCTGTACATAAGGGATAATGAATACGTGCAACATCACTCACGCCCCTAGAACCGGCTTAAGCGGTATTCAATTCTCAATACTTAATAGTGCTGGCACTAATGATACTACATTTAATCTTCCGGTTACATGATTAATAATTTGACGTCTATTATTAAAACATTCAATATTTGTAACTTTAACAAATTTGACATTTCACTCTTTTTTGTACATATACTCTTTTTAGATAATAATAACAATTTTAAAACTAAATAGCATGCTAATTATCAATTATTTATTCGTAAAAGAATTTCTGTTTTTCGGCTACACAACATAGGCATAGCTATATGATCTTTTCTGTGTCGTCTTTTAATTTGTAAATAGTGGATCCATTACCAAAAATAAAGTAATACTATTGCAGGCTTTCAAAAACATTATTATTCTCGCTTTTTAGCATGTTGCAGTGTTTGATGTTTGGAATTCAAGTTTGAAAAAGCATTACATCCGACTTTATAGCAACCTGTAATAAATATGATACTTTGTTAGTTGTCTGATAATACGTTCAATTCGACTGTTTGATATGACATATTACACGAAGGAATGCCATTGATTTTCTGCTCTAAATTCATATAGTAGCCTATTTTGTATTTCAATCTGTTTTTTTTAACTTCTTCCGTTTTTAACACATTGTCACATAAAACAGACAGTGCGTTTATATCGCAGATATAAGAAACAGTACATTAATTTAATGACGTAACGATTTAATAAAACTGACTGAAAAAGCCATCAATCAAGTATATAGATACATTTCATTAAATCACAATGCATGTATATTTAACGAGCAGGTTAATCATTAATAACATAATTATTTACAAACAAGGCGAAAACATAAATAAAAGAAGAAATTCATGAGATTGACAAAAGGGTTAGAACGTTCCAGTTTATCTCTTTTTGCAAATGTTATGCAATGGTTTTATTACTTGAACTGTTTTATCTTTTCGTCAAGCTCTTGATAAAAATAACAGCATTACAAAGAAAATGGGAGTTTTGCTGTTGTTGACTAATCAAAACGTTCATCATTACTTTAAATAAGCCATCATTTCTTTTACTACAGACACTAAATACAGTTTTTACACTGTTCTTTGAATAAAAAATGAATGCGTTTTGCGCTGAAGCTAAATGTATGAATTCTTTACAGTTTCATTTTACATTCTTGGCGTTTAGTACTTTAGTGAGATTTGTTATCCCTTTTCAGATATTATTTGTGTGAATTTTAGCTGTAGATTAACATTTGATTTTTTTTTTCAAGTTTCATTTATTAACACATTATACATCGTTATAGATCTTTGTCAAATTTATGATGTATAAGTTTTCCATCTAGTATCTGTAACTAAAAATTGAATCTCTTTCATGCTGTATCGTTTTAGTTTCAGAGCATATACTCAGTAAGCGTACGTTTATCATATATCGTTTGTTTTTACAAGTATAAGGTATTTTTATCCGGTAAGTTGACTTAGTAGTTTCTTTTTATCCAATTAATCTTCTTTTTCAGCTTTGTATGCTCGTTTCAGTCTCTCTGTAAAGTTGTTAGAGGGCAAATCGTGCTCATGGTAATAACTGAGTAATTTGTTCAGACTGGGAAAGGTATTTTTTGTATTGGAAATATCTTTGAAAAGCGATAGGTTCTCCTCCTGAAAAAAAGAAGAATTTCAAAAGATATATCTGTTTCTAATGTATTTTTCAAATTGCTTCACCGTGTGATTTAACGTGGGGCATAAACTTCAACAAAACAGATAACATAGAAGTTCTGCTTTCTAATGAATTTTGATTCGTTTGTATTATTATGTAGTTAATTCTTAATAATTTCCTAAATTGATGTTTATGGTAATAATAATGTTTTGAAAGCTGTAGATACATGTTATTGCATCATATGTTTTATGACATTAATAATCTTCCATAGTCTTAAAATCTTCCACAAGCTTCTACAGAGGATGCATCAAAATTTGTATAAAGCAGTTGAAGATTATGTATATACTTTGGCAATTATTTTAAATAACCTAATTGATAGCGTTAGTGCAATTAATGCAAAGATAATGAAATTTCAAAGGCAAATTATATAATGACACGTGTATTTGGATGTAAACTTGATAAAATATACAAGTGAATGCCAACAAACACATGAATACTTATAAATACGAACTAAATAATGTTCAGACCTAAAACTAAATTTCTTTTAAAGTTTATTAACAGTTTTACAATTTAGACTAAACACTAGAATTGACCTACATGCCGATGAATGATGAAACGCTTGATGCCATCATCGGTGACAAGGCACATCACCTGCAGATGTTTTAAACATTTTGGTAAAAGTATGAATCATAAAAAATCTATAGTTTAGATTTATTAAATATTTAAGGCTGTATCCTGCAAATTGAATTGATAATTTTACCCAAAAACTATGGCAAAATTGTTAAAGTAAATATGTTTGTTAACAAAATGCATGTTATATACATGTAGCAATGGTTAATACTTTTAACATAGATTTACGATTTGAAGTGACATTATCCTCATTTTTTCATTGTGGAGCTGAAATTACTCTATATTTCAAAAGATTGACTGACAAAATGTTGATAAACCAACTGTTTATATAAGAAATTGTTATGGATAAAATAAAGATCTGCCTGAAATATATATAGATTCCCTCTCTTTTTATAATTGAAGGTGCCAGGTTAATAACGATGGGTATTAACACAGATGCCCTTTGAGTCATCTGTAAGTGCTTAGTTAATTATAAAATTAAAAGGAATTACGACAAATATTTCACCTGTTCACTCAGGACGACCATACCGCACCTATTTAAGATTTTTATACTATAAGTGTACTTGAAAAATGTCTCTTTAGTGTAAGTACACATCAAACCTTTGTGATATTGGGCATAAACGAGCAGTTATCAAATCTCATCCGAAAGTTAAATGAAATATGTTAAAAATACTACACAGATTGTGTAAAATGAGTTTTTTTTACTGCGCAACAACCGCTACTAAAAAATATTTCATCATCCTAACACTTGCAAAACTCGATTTACTCGTAAAGTATCAAAGTCAAAACGACTTTAAAAGAAACACAACAGAGAAAGTAAATGAACAGTGAAAATATCAATCAATTTCCCTTAAAACATACTTGCTTGGATCTGATATTGCAAATAAGAAATGTCCCAGGAGGATTGTTTTGAAGATTTCTGAAAAAGAAACAACAAGGAGTCACTATTAAATGAAATGAGTGTGTGTGTCAATATGTACTTACAAAATTTCACAAAGTAGTAAATTTGGAGATGAGGGGTTAACTAATTTATCATTGTGGAGACAAATACCTTTTGGTTAATCTGATGCTAGGTGCACCTTCCACTTCCTGTCTTGAACAGATCACAATAAACAGCGTTTGAAATTTCACTATGATCTACAGGACCTAATAACATGATTGCTAGCGATTAAATATAATCGCAATTTTAAACTACTGATTTATCTTATTACAAAATTACATGCCTTTGCTTGACAAAATGCTAAATATATTAACAGTGTACGAATATCGGATATGTAATAGGCATATTAGGATACAATCAATACCTTTCAATGTATTTCGGGTGTTCGCAATAATATTCTTCTTCTCGAAAGAACTGAAATAAGAAATTATTTTTGTTATCTGTTTTTAGATTTTAAAATATTTAATTTATCTAAATAGAAAAAATATATTTTAGGATTTTGTAGTTATTGTAAGGTCATTAAATATAAGGAAAATATATGATAACTAAATTATTGTATGTGTAAGAAATATATACAAAACCCAAAGCATGGTCATGATTAAAATGTTTCATTTTGTCTCTGACTTACATTCCCATTCTCATGTTGTGCACCCTCGTCTGGGCTTTCATACGTGACACTATCCGTACTACTATCGCTGCCAGAACTAGATGTACTTTTGGTACTGATGTTACTGCCTCTTTTTATTTCGTTTTCTTCAGTAGAGAATATATTTTGTTCTTTGTTTTCGCTAACCGTAATATTTTCATATGTATTACTTTCGTCATCTAAGTTTGACTCTAAGCTTTGTGTTGTATTTTCTGTTTCCGTAGTATCTGTCAATTTAGTTTGTTTTGAAGAAGACGTAGACGCCTGATGAAAATTTACATCACCATTGCCCATGGGTAACACTTGTGTTTCTGATGCAATTTCCTCGTCGTGTTTGCTACAAATACCATTCGATGATTCCGCACCTTCATCTTTGATTCCTTGTGCAGCTAACGGCAGAACTAGGTCTTCTTTGCTAGATTCAGAAAAAGGACCTGACGGGTAATAATCATGATAATGAGGCGAAGATGTTTGTTTTTGTAAATATCCTTCATTTTTAGTAGTTTTGCAAACCGGTGATGATTTGAATGAGTTCTCTTTTGTCAGAACATGATCTGAATTTTTTATGCCTTCAGCTGTTCCTATGGAATGTGAATCTGTATCAAGTTTATTTTGTCTAACTGAAACAAAAGAGTCTGAGCAACCTGCACCACTCATGAATGCTGATGAATCGCTGTCTGCCATTGTATAGTCAAAAGCTGCATTATCATCAATAACTTTCGGACGGGTATTGTCATCTTGACCTAGAAAGAGATTGGAAGAGGTAAAAGGTCCGCTTTATTTGATCTTTTTGAGATTAAATTGACAAGAGATAAAAATATTTATTAAAATAATGTATTGCTTTAGTAGAATTGACATGAAAGAAAAGTCTTGATAATTTGTGAAAAAAATGTGATAAATAAACCAAAATTTACACAACTTATTTAAATCTAAACATGTTCTTTAACTTTAAGCAGTTTGACATATAAAAAACCCATAACAATTGTTGCATTTTAGAGTTTTTATAAAAAGCATCTGTCATAATAGATCATAATAGAAGGTTTGTAAAACAAACAAAAAAATAGTTAATAATAGCAGGTATCATATTTGATATCAAACCACAAACGAAATATACATTTAAATATGGCTGTTGTTGGTAAGTTGGCGATACATGATCAGATATAACAAATCTTTACATAGCAGATAACAAATAATTTGTCCTAGAACAAAATACAAAATGTTCATCACATAAATGTAAATTAAAGTCACGTAAAAACATTTTCTTCACAGCAAATATCTTAAAATAATATACTAGTGGAAAATGCGCCCATTGTTGACCAATCAATTTTAATATTTTCACGAGTAATTATCAATGTTTAGTGTTATTAGTGTGTCAAGACCTGTTTTATATAATCCTTATATAACTAGTCATGAAATCCTCGAGAATTACCTTAACAGCAAAAGAAAACAGTCACAACAACGCAGATCAATCAGAAAAAGGCAGATTCCGTTTGATAAACTGTTTAAAAATAGCACAATAAAACTATAAAAAAGTAAATGAACACCCAAAGTTCGGTTAACAATATGCAAGTAATAATTTATACAATATACCTTTAAACTGAAAGAAATCAGAGAAGAAACAAAGTTTGGTAGAAAAAACAAACTTCGTCAACAAAGCAGCATTTGTTTTACCTTGTTCAAAGTTTTTGTATTCATCAGAACTAAACGGACTGGTCAACTGATCATATTGTTCTTGCACAATTGTCTTAGCATGATTTGTTTTATGTTTGCTGTGTACTGTGGTTGCCAGTTGTGTTTCAAAGCGTCTGTTGCATGCTGAAATAATAAACAAAATTTATCAAATGGACATTTTTCTCTAATAATGAACATTTGTGTGACATGAATAAAAGTCTCTGCTGTGCCTCTCGGTACATACAATTCTTGGAATTAGATGGACTAATTTAACACTTATTTAGGATAAACAAATTATACAAGTTATAACATAACTGTTTCAATTTCTTAATTTGTATTTTCTGTTTTCTGAATGTACAAATGACGAATTACTAATTCGGTGCTAATAAACTTTTTTATATGCTAGTTGTTTCATTTTAAGCACTTCTGAAAAAGCGGACACACGAACTTCGGAAATTAAATTTTAATATATGAATCAAGAGACAAGCGCGAGTATCTTACATTTACTTTCTTGAACTGGAGAAGGGAGACTTTCTTTCACGCATGGTATATCTGTACTTCTGTTACATTCATCAGTGACAGCTGTGTCTTCAACCTTTGAACTTCTTTTGTAAACTAAACTCAGACATAACATTTGAAATATGAAACTGATACAAGCCTTATAACTCATAGAAGGTTTTGACATTTTGCAATGACAGAGAAAATATTTATACAAGAATCGTGTATGTACAAGTATGATGCGTTTGTAGTTATCAAGATACATTATTTATTTTATCGTATTCTGATACGGACTTATTCACCTTGATACATTAAGCGTTTCTTCTATAAAATATAATCTGGAAACGGACAATTGACATTTGTTTGCTAGACACGACTTTATTGAGAAAAATAAGGCAGAAACAGATATGAAATGAGGAATGTCTTCCAGCATGTGAAATAATATAGTTAATAAAAATCATTATAATTGTCTCCTATTCTTTTCTGCAAGTCTCTTTAACTTAATATTGTCTTTAAAATATGAATTCTTAATGTTCGTTCCAAAGAAACGTATTCCATCTTCGTATTTCAAGCAAGTTTCATTCGGTACTAGATCAAGCATTTCTGTTATAAACGATGAAGATAAATGAATTTGATTGAGATTCCGTCCAGCATTTCTTTCAGTGCCATACACAAACATTAATTGTACCAACAGAACGGAAATCATATATGATTTAATGGACCGATCATTTTCTTCACATTACTTCTTCTGTTGTTAAAGTCACGTTTTATGTAAGATGTTTCTTTAGTTTCAAAGGACGGACATTTTATATATTCCGCGCAAGAAAGAAATATTAACAGATTACCTTTGTCGTCGCCAATTATCACTTTGTTTCGATTTTGACTCTTCTCATTATGAGATTTTGCCGCATGTCTCCGCACGACATCATCATTACCTAGGGCTAAAATTTTAAAATTTACCGTTCCGAATTATTAAAAAGGAAGAATATATAGAGCAATTGTTAAAATTCAATATTTTCGTGCCTACAATACATTTAGCAACACACCTTTACTAAAGTGTAAACTTCAAAAGCAAATCAAAAAATAATATATATCCAATACCTATTACTTTATTTACATATTTAAAGGACCGCGATATAGGAATTGTCACATACAATCTAATTAGATATCACATGGTAAATCACTACGAGGTTAAAATACGACAGAGTAGTGCTTGGAGGTGATAATCTGCCCGATGGGCATTATTCATTTCGGGCCGTTTCGTCTATGATGTGTATTAATGTCTTAAATACATTTGACATAACTTTGATATACGTGTATACAAAGTCCACTAGAATCTAGAAGCAAGTTTGATTTTCTCGGAATAAAATAATCAAATCCATTCTTAAATTTTTAATTTAACTGTGTTTGTACAAATAAAGCTTAAATTCTCATAATAAAATCAAGCAATCCGTGCTTAAAACCTGCATTTACTTTACAGCTTACTGTTTTGATGACGTATATTTTGACATCAATTTCTCAGTTTTGTTTTCATTATCAGTCACCTGACACTTATAAACACTTGACATCATAGACAATTTGTTACTTAATATAGTCACAAGTATATCAAATAACTATTACAGTAAATTATTTTTGTTCATGCACATTTTTGCACCCCTCAGCAGACATTTCAATTATTGCATAGGGTCTTATCTAAAAGAAGCAAGCCTCGAGATTTATGTACATTTTCATGAATATTTTGAAAATGTATTCAAAAATAAAATATTGTCAAGCGAACAAAGAAAGTAATTTAAACATTTTCAAAGTACGAAATAACGGCCAAAATACGTAAATATACCCCATACAGCGTTAGACATGCAGTAGAAATATGGCGATGAATACTGATAAATCAGTCATTCATTGCATATAACAAATAAAATGTAAATCATTACTTGGATTGTGAATATCTTTACATTCTTAAAGTTGAAAGGTCTACAGTGAGCACATTTAATTTTCCATAAGTATTGCAAACATTGATAGAAAAAACAATAGAAATATACGAGTATCATAGGATATCAAAAGGATATTATAAAAAACTATTTTTTTTAAAATAAAGTTCAAAGTGATTTAGTAGGAACATTTATATGACGAATGATAATATTTTGTTTTATATGTCTGACAGTATGTATTATTGATTCAATTATATCAGCATCAATATTTCTTATTTTCGTGACTTTTTTTTTTCGTGTCCGAACTTTTATTTTCAATTTTTTTACACAATACACAACATTTATGCATATTCATACAATATATGAGATAAACGTATAAGGAGGAATAACAGATTACTTTTTAGAATCTACAAAGTTTATAAATATAATAAAGGTAATAATTCAATAGTATCTTTAAGTTAACAGAGTTGACAAATATTTAATACCAGACTTATTTTAGTATAACATAAGCAAAAGATTCATTTTCGGAACTTATTACTTTACAATATAATAGAACTTATTTGGCATTAAGGAGAAATTTCAATTTTACATTGAACTTATTTTGAAAAAAAAGTCATTAATTCAGGGGAAACAACTCCTACTATCTTAAAATTGATATCCATTTAAGAGTTGCACCTCTTGTCATGAATACTTTATGCATTTATATCATGAGAAAGATTAAAAAAGACCAAAGATCATTCAAGGTGTTTAAAAAATAAAGATACAAAAAGGGCAGTGGGTGCAATACAGAGTGGATCAAGCATACATAAATGATCTTAAAACATTAGTATCAACTATGCAGCAAAGAAATATATTTTCCCCATAAATTGTCAAACTTTGAAACTTTATTTTATTTTTTTTTTGCACTATATAATTGTGTTCTCAAAAGAATAGCGACATAATTTTTAAAAAGTTGAACTGTGTCCTTTAATTTGCATCTATAAAGAGTATACTTTCCCAGCCGAATTAAATTCAATGTTGCATTATCTAAGTGTTCATTGCCTAGAATAATATCTGTTAAGGTCCACTGTGTGTTAACATCTGTACATTTTGAATTTATCCATGATTTTATATCTTCCCAAAAAGAAGAACTTAATTGGCAATCCCAAAATAAGTGTTTTATAGTTTCAATATGGTTGTTGCAAAAAGAACATGTATTAACATCTTTTATTCTCATTTTATGTAAAAGATAATTTGTTGCTAGTATCCTGTGATTAACTTTATACTGAAACCATTGTAAATTTGAATCCTTTGTAATATTAAAAGGGAGCCTATAAATGGCATTCCAATTAAAATCATTAATCAAATTGAGTTCATCTTCCCATTTTCTCTTAGTAATAGATGATATATTTGCTCTAAGAATATAATCATAGATTTGTCTACAACCCTTTTTTTTGACTATTGATTATCTTGATCATTAAAGGCTGAATAGGCATTTCCTCTTTCTGATGTAGGTGTCTTAAAGACAGCTGATTTAGAAATCTCCTAATAGACTCTGTAATGTTTTGATACTCTAAAAATTGGTATTTATATCAAACTTAGTTAAAAAATCATTAAATGATAGCAAATTTCCTCTAATGTCTAAGAAGTCATTAACCAATATAATACCACAATTTACATATCTTGAGAAACAAACAGTAGAACCGCCTATTTTAAACATAGAATTATGCCAAACAGGAAGTGAGAAAAATTCACTCCAATTCCTGGGGTACTGCTTATGTAACTGTATGAGCCCAGTAAAAACATCTTATCCAAAAATTTGATTTTCACTTGTCTGAAGTATATATCAAAAATGGATTCTCCATTATTTTACAAATATTGATAGAAATGAGGTACAGATATTAACAAAAAATTAAAGTATTTGATTCTAACATTAAATTCTTCTATCCATGCGTCAATTTTAAGACATTATAAAAGTTTCTAAGCGTTTATCACTCTGAACAACCCCATTAATTCAGCATTCTGGAATGAACGACTTCTTTCATCTTTATTCTGCGTCCCTGACTTCCTTAAAATTTAAATGCAGGTTGTTATATCTTTAATTGTTCCATACAGGATTTGCAAGCTAAAATGGTGATTTAATTTAGGTAGATGCTAAGACATTAGATCCACTCTTTATACCAAAGGGTAATAAAATAACGTCTCACAATTGGAAAAAAAATCTTATTAATTTCCTCCTGTTTAGATAAATAATTAGCTTGAGTCATGTCATTTAAATTAATTGTAAAAATAATACCAAGTAGCTGTAAACATTCAGATTCCCACTGAAGATTTAAGTTCGGGCAATTTTTTTGAGTATTCCCTTTCATAGAACTAATTCATACTGCTTTTGTTTTATCTATGTTAATGTTTAGACCTGAAATTTTAGCTAAAATTTTAAAACTTGCATAGTGTGTCTTAGAGACTTAACAGTTCCATCAAGCATTATAGTTGTGTCATCAGCATATTGTGATAATAAAAATTCAGAATTACATGTTAATAAGTGTTGATAACTTTACATTGTATATATTTTCATGAGATTAATCGCAAGAATTTCTGCACATAATATGAAAATGTAACGGATAGGGATCGTCCTGAACGACAAACCACGTTGTCATTATTTGAAACCAGAGTCTTACAAATTTCCATTTATTGTGACACCATTAATAAATATTTTGTAAAATAACATACCCAAAATTTTCACCAAAATGAAAAACTCTAAAACTTTATGCATTAACAATGTCCATGCATACAGAATCACAAAGCTGTCTTTGCAAAATCAATACATATAACAACATCCAGGAATTTTGATGAATCATCTGTGATTGTATAATATCATAAATAAGTCTCTTAAATTGTCACCTATGTACTTTCCAGATAAGAAAACAGCTGATTCAACTTACGATGGGTATAGATCCAAAAATCGGACACCTCTGCAAAAACACAAAATAATAATCAATCACATGCACAATTCTGCTAGTATTTTATTTTGTAAAGCAGTATGTCCGAATTCTCAAAATTTGTAAATTGTAACAGAATTAATGATCTGCAACCGTTTACTACACATTAGACAATGACAAAAGCGGCGCAAGCTAAACGAACAGTCACAAACGACGTCTATCTATACATAGGAAGTAATCACGTTAACCGTTTTGCCTTAAAGACTTTTCAAAGTTTCCCTTTAACCCGCACAATTTTCATTGGACGGCGGACCCAGTCTCTAAAATGTACTCGCATATAATTCCTGGCTGAAATATGACAGTATGCACATTGGGTTGCTCCTCTCAACTCGTCCAGATTGTCAACACTTTCAAAACAGTTCTTTGTCTCTACCCGAACAGGTCGACCAGTCCGCAAATCATCCCCCAACACTTTCCCTTCCATCCGAAAATCGCGATTGCCACTTTATAAGTTAGAGAACGACACACTGACGGTTTATTTGTCACACTTTCGATCATTGTTTATGTTCGCCAGGCGTCTTTTTCCAAGATTTACACACAAACTGTTTAACTGTCCGAAGTTCTGCTGGATTCGTGACGTCCCATTTTTGATTAAATGCTATTTTAGCACCTGTTTTTTTAAAGCACGAGCGTAAAAAAAACGCAACTTCAAAATGTCTTCTGATACTGACAGAATGACGTCATACACACCAGAACAACGTTTTTATAAACGTTTCCGCGAATTTTCTTTGTTTGCTTCAGGTTTTTACATGTGTTTAAATGAGATGGAAAACGTTAAACAAACAGAGAAAAAATAAGCTGCGCCGCGATTTTGATACTTTTAATGTTTTTGATGTGTGTCATATATAGATCAAAATTGCAATGGTGTGTTTTAAAATCTTGTCAATTAATTAAAAAAGCATTGATTAATAATATCCAAAGAGTTCACCCGGAAGAACGACACGTTATAGCGAGCATCACATCACATCTGTCTACACGAATTTTTGGATCACCCCCTCGTTTAAGTTTATTTAAAACAGTTTTTAGGCGGTGTGC